TCATGTACCTAATGAACAAGTTCGTGTGTTAAAAACGGAACACCAACAAGTACAAAGGGGCCAATTCACCAGTTTGTAAAGGTCTTTTATACGATGTTTCATCTGGCATGTTACAACTCGCCGAATTATTGTGAAATAACCTGTGTAATAGGAAAACTTGCGTCAAGAATAATGATACAGTGGCTCTGAGTGCTCCGTTGAAAAAGTGATTCGAAAAATTTTAATCCAAATTGCCCATATTTCATTATGCCCTCAATATTCGTAATAGATAACTTGTATACTTAAGGTGTAGATTTGAATGTCAAATATTCATTGACAATCTTTGACAATTACTTGTATTTAAAATCCACATGTTAAAACAAATACATGAACAAGAGTTCCACGGTCTATTATCGATTGAAATTACCTTTAGCGGTGACCTCTTATTTCAAATGTTGTCACTGCAAATATATAGATTTCAGTTTTTAACACTTGAGTTCCACCTAAAACCTAAAACGTGCCAACCACAGGGGCCAGAGTGAACGGCTTGTAACCATGTTCACTGTCATCGCTACAGGCTTCACAGATCGAACGATCGTCACTGTGAATCAGTTTCGATAATATACTTTCCTGACGTTTGTTTCAGCTTTACAATTATAATCTGTCTTCTTCCAGTCAGGCTATCATTACAGTACTACTTACAACAGATCTGAATATGATCTCAATAAAGGCCCCTGCCTGGTACGTTCTGTAACACGTCCCCAATCTAGTCCCTGAATATAAGCAGCTCTAGAGCAGAAGCTTACCATTGGTCGAATACAAAAGCAATATTTGGTCAAATGTAGCAACTAGTGATGGGTTGTAAGCATCAACCAGCAATTATATAGGAAGATGATGCAATATAGATACCGAATAGATAATTCTGAATTGTTATGAGACCTAATTATTGTAGGATCGGAGAGAGAGCACTAAATATTTATACGCGTGTCATTTCCTATGTTAATCATATGAATTTAGAGGTTACATATATACCTGTTTTATATACAGATTTAATCTCGTGCGGAACGGATGCAGAATTATTTTTTAAAAATACATGTTCACAGGTAAATAACGTGGACGAAATATCAAACATTCCAAACATTACTGGCATGTCAGCAACGATTTTCACATTTCGTGTGGTTAATTCAGACCGAGAAGTATTGATTGACGAACTGGCTTGTCGACAAGTATTTGTATAATACCTTTCCGTATCAGCCTCTGTAACCCGGATTTATTGATGTTTTATCAATAACGGCATAGCTGTGTGACGACACGGATCACTTATCAAAGTCACCTGGATACAGGTATCACTTCATCATGACAAGTCATACATCATAGCATGTTGTAAGTAAACATATACCGGGGGCATTTAAAATCTAGAGACTGCAACGCTCCCCCTCCCCGCACTATTATTATGATAAATAAAATAAAAAAGTAAACAAAATCATACGTCTTTCCGCAGTTTTCCCAACCTCCCCGATCTACTCGCGACATGTTCATTGTTAAAATAACGAAATCTAAGCAACGTCTGCAGATTTTGATATATATTAGGTTTAAATACCAACTGCACGTTGACAGTACTAGTTATGGGGGTATCAACTTACCTCCACTTTAGGGGGTGGGGGTGATGGAGTCCGTGGTGGAGAAGGGGGTGGGATTACCACGATAGGTGATGATTCCTTCGGTTTGGGGGTCTTCAAGGGCCTACTCTGTGTGTAGGCTTGGCGCGTGGACACTCGGGTCTGAGTATAGGCGTCCCTGGTGGGAACTTTTCTAGGGGGTGGGACGGTATAATTCGTGGTCATCTGTACCCCGACATTCCGAACTTTGACCTTTGGTGGGGGAGCGGGCAATCGCTTGATAATAACCGGCTCCGAATAATTTTCGTCTGACATTCGATAATCACAGTAAATTTTCCCATCTTTTTCATATCGCCCAACTTCAACGAGTCCCGGGGACTGAGGCCGATATCCCCCAGTCCTGGTCAGCATTGCAGACTGGGGTCGGCGCGTGCTCCCTCTAGACCGACCATACACGTAATCCTCCACCCATGCCGCTTTGTCAGTCATGACGTCATCACGAACGACGTAACGACGGTCATCGTCTGTGAAAGCGTCTGAATAATAGTGGTTCCTGTTTTGTGACCGGATACTACTTTGTCTGGATACACGCCTATGTCCACTGCGAGACATTTTGTCAAATGTTGCTTATGAATGGTATTAATCCAAGAGAATCTTTCGAAAATAATCACTTCATTCGATGCATCATGTCTTTTTCATGGCACACTTTCAGCGTATCCCTTGAAATCTTGAAACCGATGGGCTTTCTATATACTAAAGTATTCTCGGTTTCAACAACCAATCGTATTTGTGATACAAATTGATATCCAGTTGTCAAACTCGGTCGTCACTAAGGTATGTTTCTCCTATGTGTTGACGTATGTATTTCAAATGAGAAATGTTCAATATTTGGTTAAGTGTTTTCCAGTCCTCCCTAATGCCTTGTTTGCTTGCCACCCGTATACACATCGGTCTACAAGGTTCGTACAGGGCTGTCACCTACGTATATTATATTACTCGGCCACCGTGTCCTTTTAAGACTTGCCATTCCATAACGACTTAGGCTAAATTTGGATTAACGTCAATGGAAACAGCCAAGTAAAATCCGAGAGTGTCCCTTGTTGTAAGTGTATACAGATAATTACATGGTAAGCACCCTACAATGATATTTATATTTTATATATACAGTGCCCTGAAGATGTAAGCGTCAGATGTCACCTATACGACTCCTACACGTGTATACTGTGTACAAAAATTCGATGACATTCAATACCCTTAGCATATATCGCGTCGCAATATCGCGTTTGATGAATTCCTTTGGGAAAACGGATTCATTAATATTTGAACATTACAAGCACATTTCTATTCAAATCATTCCTCCCCAGAAAGGTTATATTGTTGATGAAATCTATTAATATATAACACGATTAGAATAATTCGGTGATTATTGAAAACCTGTTTAACAGGGTTTCTTCACGAGACATGTTTACAATCTTTTAAACCTCCGTTTTGAAGTAGCAAATACATTTCTTTTTGATGGTAATTATATGTACAGTTGCTGTGTCGCCTTGACAACACTCATCAAATGGAGGAGTACTGCGTGTATTAACAGCCTTTGAATAGTGAGGAGATTATAAAAATACAATTGCGTATTTGTTACATCATCCACAAACCCGATCAAAGTACACGTTATTAACCGATATCGATCGCTGGTGATATTCAAACATATAATCCAGGAATCACTCGGGTTTTTCCGACAATGTTTACAACATCTCCGGCCGTTTTCGGCAAATCTCCGACCGTTTTCAGCAGGACTGTCCCAGTAAAAAGAACAAGGATACCCATAGGTATTGTTACGGGGGTATATAATTTTTTTCCATCTCTAATTACTTTTCAAAAAGTTGATAACAGATATTTGCTATGTACGAGGAAGTTTTACAAAACCCTTCGACGTTTATCAACGTATCATCTGACTCTGGGTAGGCTTGCATTTCTGCTGAAGGAAGAACGTTCTATCTTAACCATTTCTGTCTTAAAATTACTTTTCAATAGACAGTAGTGATTGCTAGAAATGGCTTTGTATGATTGTTACCTAATACATGTATTACTGGTGTCATGTAAAATTGAACTGATTCTCTTAAGCTTGACTCATTACAATTTAATTAACTGGTGCTTGTTCAATATCACGGATTAAAATAAGGTATCAAGATTGAGTTGTAACTCATCGTTATCAGTGTCAGGAAGGGCAACGCCATGACTTTCATTAGATCTAACTCAGTGAGGAGTTGCTGATGGCGTTTGAAAAAAAGTAAAAAATATATAACATGACAACAACAGTACAGAACAAGTAACAACAATCAATTATTCAAATTTCATGGCGTGATGTGAAATGGCATTTGGAAGCTAAAGCGGGTGTTAAGCGTGGAGTATATATAGAAATAAACGTCAGAAACTTGGTGATTGTCAATTATTTTAATTAACACGAAACTGGGCTAACAACATATGTTACTGCCATATAACGATGTAAACATTACTTAATCTTTAATGTCCCCAATTTACAAAATAACTCATAATCCCGTTCAATTCGTCTTTTCCAGAATCTTCGGGCCTTTCACGTGCTCACCGGGAAGGACCGAAGATATCCGGATAAAGTCGTTTGGCGGAGCTGCCGGAAACTGACGAACGAGACTACGCGCTACTGCTTGTTATTTATTTACTACATGGCTGATTGCACGAACAGAATCGACATACATTGTAATTATATAATTAACAAAATTAATATCTACGGCTTGAATCATACTCAGATTGAAAATGAGTATTCTATCTATTTCATGTTAAATTTTGGTTAAAGTAAAGTAACATACAACGGAACCTCTTTTGGCTGGTAAAATCTTCAAAAAGGAATAAAATGTTTTCTGATCAAAATTAAGCCTTCAGAAAAAATAGATTTCCATTGACATCATGACAGATAAAAATGAAAACGAGGTTCCATTGTAGTCACGGAGGAAGGTTTAAAGATGACTACAGTATAACGAAATGATTCTGATAAAAAGTGCAAAGTGAAAAAAAAATAAATAAACGTACATCTTGGGTACAGCACCTCGCGTATTTGAAGCATTATTACATGGGAATATTAAAATGTTTGCTTCATTACACAGGGGCTTGTCATTATAATGACGAGGTAGGTATCACATAGGGACCTGACACTATGAATACGAGACACCATAACCGAATGAATGAGATAAAATAACCTTACTTCAGTAGTTAATATCATTGTTGGTTAGTACAAATGTATACAAAAATATTCTAAAGCCGAACGGCCTTTTCTGACCAATGGAAGTTAATATCAAGCGTTTATCAGAATCATAATTGAGCAAGACTACAAGCTCTAATTTGAATAATACAGCCTAACATGGAAATGCACTAATTATCCAGCACCAATTTTTCTCTATACATTTTATAAGCTATGGGTACTTGTTTCTTCTTCCGAGCAAACCGGGACTTAATAAAAAGGAACTTGTCGTCTACGCTTGTGCGTCGTTTATGTTCGTAAACTTTGACAGGTATATGGTGGTTACGGTGATGCTCCACTTTCATCCAACCTCCTCCCACACGTACCATCACCGACTTGGCCTTGGGAATCTGAAAGTAAATAAAACATACAAGTATATAAAAGGTAATGTACACGGATTTGTATCACTGGGTTTGAACAAACATTGTTTTTATCCGAATTATTGGTGGGAATCATCTGTTCCGAATGTATGTGACTAGCATGAAGAGAGTTGTTTCGCAGTAATTTGAAGTAACGTAGATGTTAGTTGGTTAAGACTCCTAAACCACGGGATTTGTTTCGTGCCAAAGAGTCAGTAAAGTTAAATTCCTGTATACGGATCATAAGAGTTAGACCAGTAAGTGATATTTGTAACTTATTCTTACAGTTGTGAATGCTATAGGACCTATAATTAAAGGATTATTAATTTCAAAATTTGGATTCGGAAATAAGAGAAATAATACATTTTTGTCAATAACTTTACTCGCGATATGACCACAATAAAAACATAAAAAAAGGACACAGAAATTATTATTATGGCTACTTACCACCGCAGGTACAGGTTCCATAACCTCAAGTGGCGGAGGGGGTGTTTCAGGACGAGCTACTAATATCTGTCTTTGAGGTTTGGGTTTTGGTTTCGGAGGTGGGGCTGTAGTCTGCGTGCCACTATTCCTAGTTTTGACCGGTGGTGATTGCTCAGCAACGTATTTGGTGGTCATCTGTACTCCCACGTGGCGCATATGTCTTACAGGGGCCGGAGGAGGCTTTGGTTCCGCTTTTAGACGGTAGTTATAATATATCTTGTTGCCTTCCTCTCTTGTTTCCACCTCTACAAGACGGTCACCATCTCTTGTCTGCATGACCTGTTGACTGAATGCCGACCCAGGCCTGCCAACACGTCCGTGTTCTCGCATACTGTCCTGTTGCACATGCTGCACGAGTTGTGTGCCGACATCGGACATCGCACGGCCGTGGTTGCGCGCGTTGTAGTACACGATGCCTCTGTCGCCCATATCCGACGCAGCTCGGGTATTTTGTGTTGCATAGTAACGCATGTGCTCCTTCACGCGCCGGATGGTACTTTCACTTCCGGTCTCACTATCATATATCTCCTCGCCGTCACTCTGATATGCCGTCCTCGTCACAGGACGGCGCTGTTCTTGCTGTCCACTGCTCATGACATATTCCAGTGTGCGTTCCTCTTGGGTGCCCCGTGTGAGCTTTTTCTCCTTCCTGTAAAACCTTTTTTGAGTTTTATCATCGCCTGAGTAATGACGATATTCAGGCAGTCGAAGATCACTTGCCGACGCAGGGCGTCGCCTTATTAAAACACGACCTTCATCACCGGATTCATCTGACACACTCTCCTTTTCACGTTTCCGAGATCTCCTTGACGAGGAAGCGCGATGTTCTCGAAGAGACATTTCTAAATCCAGTCTCTTTGCCGTTCGGACTAATTAACCTTTCACATGAATCAGATGTCATTAATACACACCCTTATAAATCTTGTTTGTCAGTTCGACGCAAATGTCCATAGTCGTTTATACATTTTCATTGAAACTTGGCCTTGCTAAGCACGCTGTTCACCTGTGGGTTCTTCTCTTCAAGTGACACTTACTTATTTAGCTTAGCGACGACAGACCCTGTCACATACATGTAGATAAATATATCTATAGTGTATACGTGTAGGAGTATCGGTGTCTCGTACCGTTGTGTCAGGGTAGGTCAATTTCAGGTACACACACGCTTACGCTATTGTACGAAAGATTTTCTCTGATCGGTCAAATGATTTTCCCTTGTTAGTTTTTAGATCAATATTGACGAGGTTTTCAGTGTGATGGTCAACATATTGGCGGCGGTAATAACAAAAGTAAGCCATATGTGTGTATGGTATTGATCTGGTACGTGTACAATTAACTAACAGAGGAACAACTGGTACATAGCGACCAAGATTAAAGGGTAGCACGGAGAATATCTAGTATGTGTATGCTATCAATAACAGAGGAACAACCTGAATATAGCGACCAGGGTGTACGGATATCAAGATGAAAATATCACTATACACCCTAGTATTGATTTTCTAGCGTATATGCCATCAGTTACAGGGGAACAACCTGAACATAGCGACCGCAGTACACTTGTTATCATTGGTAGTAACAGGAAAAGTACCTGTGCATAGCGACCGCCGTACGTACAGTAAAACCTCGCTTCCTAGTAACTCTCACAAGTTTTTAAGATAGTCCTAAAGACGAGTTTAACATTCAATTTTACCTCGCTCATCAGACCACTGACCGGTCACATAGTTGCCTTCCGTGTATTCTATCTTGTACATCTACTGTGTATACAATTGCCAATCTTGCTTTTCAGACAAATTCCTGGGTATTTAACATTATGTAAAACAAAAACACTAATTCAATGATGGTTAACATACGGACAAAAATGGTCACAGGGAAACTTTGCTTTGTCACACCCACTGTTTAGACTACCCTGCTATCAAGACCATTTGTTCTAGTCCTATAGGTGAGGTTAGAGTGAGGTTAGAGTGAGGTTATGTGAGGTTAGAGTGAGGTTAGATGGCATTGTGATCACTAGTAGTAGACATGTATCACTCTACACCCTCGTACAGTTTGTATGGCGGAGGGTGACACATCTTGGTTCATCAAACAACGTACGGGTAAAAGAAGGATGTAATAAGTATGCAATTATAAATATGATATGAATATTTGATCAAACATGAAGTTGTCGGGTCAAATTTTGTATTCAGCAACGTCATTCATATTAGTGAGAAATAGATGAATCTAAAGACGTAGAATAATGACATCTAGGGCGACAGAGATGTGATAAAGGGTCTGGAGCATTTCTGCATAGGATAGGTATACATTATCTTGCTTCAAGTACAATATACAACGATAAACGTGTGTTTTGAAAGTTGGCTGGTTAAATTATTTCACACCCTTGATGACTTTCAGTTTATAGCGTTTGGACTCTGAACTTGATTGGGGTAACCAAATCTTAAGACGATCATATATACTACAAGCAACCAGTGACACACAGTGACGGACCGACAGAGAGAAAGACGAATGGAAGGATAATATAAAATGCATAATACCCAAGAAACTTGGTTTCAGCAGTATAAATGATATACATCATACAATACAAAAATATGTCTATATATTAAAGAGGCTATTATACATTATAAAATGTATTCGCATAAAAATCGGGTTTTATAGAGTTTTTTTAGCTAATACATTAGCATTGCATGGGACCCAGATTCGAATTTGGTCGTTTTATACAGGTTTTTTTCCTAACCATAAAGACGATTACTTTAAATGTGATCGCTTCATAGAGGTTGATACTGTGCAGACATCTGATAGCTTAGCAGACATGATAATTACAGAAATACTGCCACTTTATATAATTGACGCATTCAGACAGCGAAAATGAAACGATATATGAAACGGCTTCAATACATCCTTGTGGCCGTTTTTCTACGTACAAGTCATGTTTTCCTCAGTTAGGTGTTCGCCTTAATCGGGTCTACGAAAGTTTTCAGCAGAGCGACACACAATCGATTCACAGATGTAACTTGTAGAAAGATCAGGTCACTTTATAAAGTATTATTTTACTATTGACAGAGACCGCTTTATTAACGTGACTTATGCAGACATGTGATCGCTTTATAGAGGTAATATTACGGAAGGGAAGTCGCTTTCAAGAACTGTTATTTGTGGCAGAAATGACTTTTAAAACGTAGGTACCGAAACGGGCGACCTTTTAAAGGGCTTTTGTAACCGTGTGAGCAGGCGTCTCTTTTAAAAAGGACATTCCTAGTACATTGTATATGTATCCTTTGTCTCAAAATAAACCATTCTACGTGAACATGTTACGAGTATATGTAATTATACAATGATCAGGCACACAAGTACTGATGATGGTAAATATATGTACAATAGTTAAGTGTTCAGGTGAACATTGCCGAGCTTTAAAACCGGTTATAGATCGTTATACAACAAATTTAAAGGTATGATATACTGAACTTAAAAGTATTCCACACAGTTTTTGAAAGTGAGCATGCGGTAATCATGTAAAGGTGCTGTAAAATATAACATGTATATCGGTATATTCGCGAGTAGGCGAAACTTATCCCAAGGCCACCACGAATTATCCTCTGTAAAATTCCTTTAAAAGTAGGCCCATATTATGCATTTTAGTTTTCAATATGTAGATATTTTTGGACATGGTCAGATATCCAATGACTGACGAAAATTGATCTTTGAATTAAATTTTGAAAATACTAGTCTATTTCATAATATTTTTGTTGTTAAGAGACAGAATTACCTCTAATAAGTGCTATGTCTGTAGCGGATTTAATGATTCGTTGTGAAATATTTCGGATAAATGAATTGAAATTTAAATGTCTAGTGCCACACCTGAACCTGTATAATCAGATAAAAGCCAAAAGAATCAGAAGAATTCATTACAAAATTAGATATCATGTATGTATACTCGGGGTTCAGGTTTCACGTGTTTCTCTATAAAATCCTATCTTTCTGACCCGCACTCATCCAGAAATTCAATTTTTAAATAATGTAATACCGTAGTTTTTTTCAATTATCTTTTCTAATAAATTGAACATGAGATTCCACATGAAGCGCAGTCTGATTTAAATACAAGTTATCATTGTACAATATTTCATGAAGCATTAAAATGTATCATATAATGATGATTTATATATTAACTAGATTGATTGAAGCGGGGTCTCTTTAAAGTACGTGGTGACTAACTCACTGAACAAGATATGGGAGGTCCGTCATTTGGCGCCAACAATTTATTAGGGTAAATTGTCCTACCAAAGGACAACCAAGTCATAAAATGAGTAACTATTTAAAAAAATAGTCAGGTGAGAGAGTTAATTGAGAAAACGATACCCTACAGATCATTGTCCGTGATACTTGTCAGTCGCCATCTTGAATATAAAAGAATAAGGAATATCATTCCATTTTGTTTTCGATGGTCACTTGATTTTTGAAGTACGCCATAGAAGAACGTACCGCTTCAAAGATGTTATGAACTCCAACATTGGAGATTGGGTATTTTCATTTCTCTCAAATTTACAGAATAATCTGAAATTTCATAGAATATGTTATACCACGTCTACATGTATAATTGCTGTTTGTACAATTACGCAATATATATAAAGCTAGCTTGATATATTATAGGACTTATGATTGCTTCTCTAACGTTGTTCATTTGTACATACTGGATATAAGGGTTACCTCCCTTTAAGTGTAGTACGGTGTAAAAAGTTTTCCACACTACAACTCTGTGTAATAGATTCAACGACATTTAAAAATTGAAAAAAAAGAAATTTATTAAAACAGTAATTAAAACGAAGTGTAAGGTTTAGAATAAACATGAAGTTAGTAATATCAGAGGAAGATGAGTGTTCACCAGTTAAATGGCGCCAGCGATTCACTTTGGACTTACCTAACGACCTTCTGGTTATGGAATAGTGACCATCTTAGTCTATTTATATGAATTATGAAAGTGAATCAATCAGACTTATAACGCTGTTACGGGATATGATACACGTATACGACTCTTTGTATTCATTGAATGAATAAGTAAACCATACTTTTAACACGTTCGACACAGCAGTATGACACGATCATCACCGCAGGAAAATGGCAGTTTTAGGACATTATAGTTCTAAATAATTCTAACATTGTGGAGAAAATTGCAGTATCATCACGCACTTTTCTCATCGGAATAACATCCGATCAAAACAGTATCCAATCAACTTCCAGTATTGTGTCACGTGCCGACATCTATCCCATGATGCCGTTCATTGTGGTAGTCTTGACGTTGATCTTATCAATTCTTTTCTCGAACTTACATACATTTTACATCAGTGACTTAAGCAAACCAACTTTTTTTCACACAAAGGTCAAACTATTTCCACCATAAGGTTACAGTGACCTTTAGCGTTTACAAAAAAAAATACAAAATATTTTGCTTTTGCGCATCACATCAGCCTGTCAACTGTCACACAGAAATCGGCATGTTTTACACCGCCAAAAACAGTCACGCTGACTTATTTATCGTCGTGCAGTGATAATTATGGCTATTTTTGCTTCTCGCAAAAACTCAATCCGTCACCGTATCTCGTAATTTCCTTTCCTATACAAGTCTTTGTCTCATTGTCGTTGAAGCGCTCCCTTTTGTGCCTCTACTTAATGTGGCCGTCCAGCTTGGACTTTCTCCTTTCTTTGAGAACAGTTGTGACCTTGGTCGCTGTGACCTTATTATCACATTTCCTTCCTGTCCATCTTTTGTATTTTCGACATGCACGTGCATCGGCACGTGGAAACGAAGATAATCTGGGACTTCCATCCACCCTCCTCCTACGCGAACCATAGGTAGCCTATGTCCGCACGCTTTAGCCACCTGAAACACGTGTCAAAAGGTTCAGATAGTATATACACAAGGACTTGTACAATTTCTATATTTCAATCCAATTTGTTTACAACTTTACAATATTCGTCCACAGTATAACAATACCGCTTTTAACAGAATTATCACCATCGTTTGCTTTTTTCTTTACTTCAAATCACCACATACAGAAATTATTTCGTAATTGGTGTTGTTGTTAATGTTTATATAATAAATAGATGATAGATAGAACCACAAACAATATAACTAAATATAACAATATAACGGTAAGACAGATCACAAACATAAAAAATTTCAGATTTTAGAAAATACATTATCTATGGCGTTCCCGATAGAGTTATTAAGTACCATTCCAGCTCGATGTTTATCAGTAATACCTATATGATTTGGTCACCGACTTTGGTGGTATTTAATACACTGATATTTAATCCAAGCTAATTTTGAAATCGATGAAGCTTAATGTATATAAGGTACGGAATGTTGTAAATTCCTTACCTTGCTGGGTGGGCGAACCTTCGTTGTACTCTCTGTCTTTTCTGTGATTATCTCGACAGCTTCGTTTGAAAATGTAGTTTGTTTACCATTAGATTTGTCTCTTTTGTCTTTTTCTTCATTCATCTTTCCTTCATCCTTTTCTTCGTTTTTTCCACACTCGATGTCCTTGCGTCCGTTTTCATGGTTTTCTCGACCATCTCCTCGTACTTTTCCATTATCCGATCGTCCGCGCGCTGGGGTGTTCGTGTCAATTTGGACGACAATATTGTCTGTAGACAGATGTTCCACTTTTAGAGTTGTGTCTCCAGTGCGGTATGTTCGCTGGGCAGCGGTATTACGGGTGTAGATCACCTCGCCTGGTAGCATTTCCCTCCTAGACCTCGTCTCCTGAATCCGGGGATCTGTGAGGAGGAACTCAAGGTCATGAAATGTAGTTTGTGTAGACATGTTGTGAGAACGATTTTTTTCAGTTCCATTTTCTTCTCCTTCTCCTTCTTCTGTTCTCAGCCTCCTCGAGTCTTGTTTTTCACGTTTTGGGACCACTCGTTGCACGGCAACTTTCCGCGTGCCTGCATCACTTACAGTGACAATGACTTTCTCGGGTGGTTCCGGTGGTTTCCGTTTCCGCCTAACTCGACGCCGACACCTCTTTTTAGGCATGTTTGGTAACATATACGGTTGGTTCGGCAAACACAATTTCCATTGTTTCAGCTCTTCACACAACCTCATCTTGAGAGCATCAATGTCCTTGAATTCGTCCACTTTTACTAGTTAAACTGGAGACTAACGAAAAAATGTATAAGTAGCTTGTGCTGACGCGCGTGTGACAAACACTTTCGGAATGGCAGTGATATAATCCACAGTTTGTAATCCTGTACTTAGAAACCGTCAACACATTTAAATAATCCATGTTAGAAGACTCGGTGTTGTGTGAATGTTATATTGTAATCTATGTCAAGTTTCGATCAAAAATCACGCGATTCTATAGAATACTTAATTTGCCAAATTGAACCACTTACATTTCCAAGGCTAGAAGCATAATAAGAGATACGGCTTTGTGGGGACCGACTTGTTACAAACATATACCCGACCCAGAGAATAATTGGCCACGTTATAAACGCTATACGCTTAGATAGTCAAAGCGATTTGTTAGGAACGGTTTTGCTCGGTGAGCCTTGTCCAGGGGATCGCGTCAGATGACATTCGATCGGCAAGTATTACTGCACTATTTCAATAACACACGGATACTCATAACAATATACATGTGTTTATCTGAAAACCTGTGTAATATGACACCATTATACATAGAACAATTGTTAAGTGACGCTGATTTAATTCAATCGATATACTGCCCTCCTAAATTAATGGGTGACATTCTATAACAGTCTACCCCAGGACGGAATAGTTAAACTTTCTGTAAACTCTGAACCATTTGGACTAGCTCTCGGAATACCTCTTATATACAGTATATACAAAATGCAGTTCATTTTTGTTCGTGATTCCTCTCCCTTTTAACAGTGGCTTAGGTTAACTTTATAATACATGTTTATATGTAAACATGTATCAAAATAGATGAATGACAAAACAGAATATTGCATTTTAATGTTATTAAGATAAAAATACACCGATTGACATGTTGTATGAAGTTATTTGGTTAGCCCAAAAAGTCATGTGTATTTCTTTAACTATCTTTGAAGAACTTTGCGAGAAATACACTTAAAAATGTGATAGCTTAGCAAACCTAGCAGAATTTTTATAAAAATTTGTTTAAAACTCTAAAACAACTTCTTCGTAAGAACAGAAATACCCAGAGTCTTCTTGTTTTGCCTGATCCTTATGTATATAAAATTGTTCAAACTGTGTGGGGTAAATCACCTACATTTTAAAAGTCACCAAAATAATATTTAGAACCATAAGCGTAATGAATACAAAGAATAGCTTTACATTCATTCGAGGTCACAGCTTAAAAACCCTAAAAGACTAGAGTGGTGATAAAGTTTTACGATATTTGTGATAATAAATCACACTGACCTATACACATAGTCACAAAAATCCAATTTGTGAAGAAAAAACAAAACAAAACAAAAAAATATGCTAGCTAGAAAAGAAAGGGGAGAGATCTAGCGTAATTAACGCTATATCGGACTTCCAGATTTATAGCATTAAAGATATATAAGTTCCACGATTTGTTAAAATCGTGTGTTTATCAGTTGTAGAACCAAATTTTAAGACTGGGGTATAAATGTGAATGTAAGCAATCAGTTAATTTATGTAAAATATTTCGGACAAATTCTGGAAAAGTAGTTAGTTGTGCAGACCAGTGTACAAGGAATCTTCGTTGTTCTTGACAATTTCAACTCTATACTTTCCTGAATAGTGTTGAAAGTGGCTATTTCTCTTGGCTCCTGTTCAGGACTGAAACCGGGAGATGACGTCATCATACCATTTTGATTTTAAGTGTACCAATCAAGTAATTATATAATTCTTGAATGACCTCGAGAGAAATTGTCATTGAATGGATTGTAATCTGAATTAAACGAAGGTAGAAAGGAATATTTATAAGCATAATTGCGGATTGACAATGGTGGAATAAAACTAACACATGTACTCGTTTTATTGCGATAGCGTACCTCTCGGTGATGATATCGTAATGGTATCACTGCTCATATAAAGTGCCCCGTACATGTAAAAGTTTAAACCCATTTAATTTTTATGGCTATAAGATGTTTGAACAAGTTATCTCTATACATGCGAATTTCTTTAAGAAATAAAAAAAATAATCTGACTTGGATACTTGTAAGTGTCTTTACGAACGATGAAAAAATGCGTCCCTTATCGGACATTTAAATACCCGAGATTTTATGTCAGTCAAGAGTAAAATACGAAAATTGTACATATTATGACTGCCACTAGAGTGTTATATCTAGACTTTATCGACACGATCTAATATCGTCGCCAAAGGAGATTCAAATATTTACCTAACACTAAACAATACAGGAAAAACTACCCGATAAGAAAGCGGAAGTTACAATGGCGTGATTATTGAATATCGTTATGTTGGCATTTTCATGTTACTTGGTGGATTTTAAGCATGACAAAAGGGAAATATGTTTTACAATATCGCAACAGTAGTTTGGTATAAAGGTATCCCTGTTGTATTGATTAACTGTTCCGTACACGTTATTGTAAGTACAAATTTGTCCTTATTGACTATCTTACAACTGAAAGTATTCTCTACACTTTTATTGGGTTTTTTTCATTTTGTTGTTTCGTCACAAATTAAGTTATATATACCAACTCCGGATTTCTGATAATATCACGTACTTCAGTATACATTTCCGCATAGCTTGATTATGAGGCATGAGGACGCAACAGTGTGATGTCATGAAATGTTAATCGAACGCACCGAATCAGGCGTGAGATCTTCAGCCAGAAAGTACCGTGAGATAGAGTCAATGAACAATTGAACATATGATAAAACCATTGCGGAATGTCTGAATCTAGCTCAGTCTTATAACCTCGTTAAAAAGGATTCTCAACTCGTTTCTAAGGAAATATATGAGTTCCTTATATATCGGTATATAAACGATGTCCCGTATGATGACGTGCGATTATCGCAAAATAAGAGGACTTTTAATTCGCATCAAAGAGTTATACATACATATTAGATCCCATGCAGTAATTTAGATTTTCAATTAGAGGTCAGATGTGACAATAAGCGGAGTATAGAACAGGCAAATGCCAAGCTTAATAAAAAGCGGTATATATGTTGCATATATAAAGGCCAAATGAAAACGGATCTAAAACGTACCTTTTGTTACTAGCACCATAGCTACACTGGATAATTACGAAAAAGAAAAACGTATTAGTTTTCTACATGAAAGAAAAAAAATCTGTTTCCACTTTCATTCTAATCCGTCCTATTTTTCATACTTACGTCATCATGCAAGAAAAAACCCACATTTCCTTTATATAAACTTTCTCAATAATGATCTATGAAATAAAAACAAAATGCACCCCCTCCCCACACAATTTCCAGAGATGGTCGAAAGCGGAAACATGAAAAATGATTTACTTAGTCTGTCTAAAGCACGACGCCACCCGTGGATAATGTATCTTACATTATCCTCACTATCTTCATCATAAACAATGAAATGTGCCGACGGTGGAACATCTTTTGACAGACGGAAATAAAATATGTTAAGTTAGTAACGTATTATAAGTAGCAAGAAATCGCTATTTCGAAGTCGCATCATCCAATCGATCCATCTTTTTATACATTTTTTTGAGACCTTCAGTATTAAATGTTAGATAGGAAGCAGCCATTGTTCATGTTTGTATAATATTGGCCTAGATACATATAAGGAGTCATTTACATCTCGAAGATTACAAATATATGATGACCCATGTGACTTCGATATATCGAGTTCGACTTGTTATATGATTAAATGTAGTAAATATATATAAAATGTAACGTATACTATATAAAACAGCTCTATATGAGATTTACCGTCTTCAGTGACCTTGACTGGTGACGTCACTGTGGTAAGTATCAAGTCCTAACGATTCTATATCGGAGGAGCACACGCTGAACTCCTAATGGAAAACAAAAATGACCGCCAAGGCAATGTCATACGTACCTTCTATTAAATAATAATAGTTGAAACTAAACAAGACATGCATGAACTTACATTTGTTTGCTAAAATGTAAATAGTCACTGTACGTAATTAATTCACATAATAAACTAATTTTGGATAAAAAACAGAATAAAACCGGAAATAAAGAGAGGTAGTTTTTGAAAATTTGGAACAGAAAAGAAAAATTGACAAAGAAAATGAATTAGACTCAAACTATTTCAATTACATATGACCTTTATAAAACTAAATTATGACGTCACCGTTCATTGTGACGTAAGTTTACAGATTACAGTAAAGCATTACATATAAAACATTTCACTGTCTGTGTGTACATACCTTTGTTTTCCTGCTTATAACATAGATAGGTTCAAACGTATCGATGACACCCATAGACGTCGCCCCATCTACGTAATGAAGAATTTCGGTGTAGGTTTTTGGTTTTGAGATGCTCCCTGTGTTGTTTCCTTTAGAACCATCACGCACACTCTCACTTTTATCAATGTCTTCCAAACTCTTGCTTCTATCTGTGTCTTCGAGGCGTTTAATCGTGTTGCTATGTCTAGGACTTCTACTTTTACGCTTTCCTATTCCATTTCTCTGTTCGTATACTGGGATAGGTTCAAAGGGTTGTTTTAAATGATACACAGGTGTATCTAAATTCTTCCTTTTGTAAACAACAGTCTTAGACGGTTGTGTCCTGGACGGTTTTTTGGAAGAATTCTGAATGCCTGGGTCTAATAATAAATCCAACCCAATCCATCGGTTTTTGTGTTCTTCGGAGGATCTTGGTGAATGGGAAGATTGACTCTGCAAAGTCCCACGATTGTCTTTCTTCACCTGATCGTGATATAGAATGTCAATTCCTGCTGATAATGAGAGCTGGTTCTCAAGCCATGTTTCCCGTCGTCGAAATCCAGGTTTTGGGCGGAGTTTCTGATTACGTATGAACTTAATTGCCCGTCGGGTAGACCTGGGAAGTTCTTGTTTCACGTGCTCCACCTCCTCCTCCCCATCCGTCAGCACTAGCGAGGAGGTTAGTAGTTGATCTAGAGACGTATAAGGTTGCCAACACTCAATGGTGGCCATTGTAGTTATCGAAATGAAAGTAGAGCGTCACAGAGAAGTCGATTATGGAGAGAACAGCTAAATACAAGCTGATTACGACACGAAGAATACACACACGTGTGGACTGGACTGACCAACTCAACTGGTCAATCAGACCCTACACAATCCTATCGTAAGGAATGTAAAACACAAACGTATCTCACGCTCCGTGACCAAGGTGCGGGGAAGGTTTATATCCGTACATATCAAATTGTCGTTTAAATTCCAGAATGTTTGAGAGCTAGCTACAGCGAGGGTTCATAATAAAATTGTTCTAGAACTGATAGCAATGAACGCCACGGGGAATGTATCCGTGTGTCTTACCTGTCCTCGTGATAACACGTCGTAATAAATATCTAGGTACATTGTAAGTGGAGAAATACAGGTAAGGTGAGATATATATCGACAGGAGTAAACACAAACAACCTCTGTTTATTGACGAATAAAAATGACCTCATCCAGATTTGAAAACAGAAGCCCCATTCACAAAACAACAGTTATTCACATTAACATAGCCAAGGTATTGAAAGTGAACATATCGATTTCCGATAGTACATATATAATAAGTATGAAAATGTGATTGTTACAAAAGATTTTGAAAATCTTGAATAGATGATTGTATAGTTCGCTAAATGCCCTTTGTGATAAAGATAATATATTGCTACCCAGACCATTTTTTTGTCCGATCATGCTCTCCCTATACCATCCGACCTTATATACATATATATACAACAAGCAATTCAGTAAAATCGGATTAACGCTTTGTTAAACAAGAATGATAGTCACCAATATGTCATTTTTCTATCAGGTGTGTATTGAACAGGCTTGTTACAAGCACACTCAACAATATCTGCTTTCGTTTCATAAAAGTGTACCAGGTAGGTATCGATCATTAATGTGTTTTATTGCCATTACAAACCACGTGAAACCGCATTAATGCTCCGGGTATGTTATAAAGTCCTATCAACAGTTACGTCAGTACGACAGTCTGTAGTACCCTAGCTGTTAGAACGAATGTCATTACCTTTCTCTCAAACCATATATACACATTTATGTCACTTACAAATGCGTCGAGATAATAACAGGGACAAACAAATCGAGACAAACTGTCATATCGATTATCACACAACACGCCTGTTAACTCTGGACAATTCTTTGACTCAAAGTAGACAATTCTTAGATCACCATTGAATGATTCGGAATAATCTTTAGCTTGATAATGTTAACAAAATAAAAGGTCTTATAACACAACTGGTAGAAAATGTGAGTGTGATGTTTCAATGACTACACTGTCACCTTCATCTTATAACACAACTGGTAGAAAATGTGAGTGTGATGTTTCAATGACTACACGGTCACCTTCATCTTATAACACAACCAGTAGAAAATGTGAGTGTGATGTTTCAATGACTACACGGTCACCTTCATCTTATAACACAACTGGCAGAAAATGTGATTGTGATGTTTCAATGACTACACGGTCACCTTCATCTTATAACACAACCAGTAGAAGATGTGGATGTTTCAATGACTACACGGTCACCTTCATCTTAAAACACAACCAGTAGAAGATGTGGATGTTTCAATGACTACACGGTCACCTTCATCTTATAACACACAGTAGAAGATGTGGATGTTTCAATGACTACACGGTCACCTTCATCTTATAACACAACCAGTAGAAGATGTGGATGTTTCAATGACTACACGGTCACCTTCATCTTATAACACAACCAGTAGAAAATGTGAGTGTGATGAAAATGTGAGTGTGATGTTTCAATGACTACACGGTCACCTTCATCTTATAACACAACCAGTAGAAGATGTGGATGTTTCAATGACTACACGGTCACCTTCATCTTAAAACACAACCAGTAGAAGATGTGGATGTTTCAATGACTACACGGTCACCTTCATCTTATAACACAACCAGTAGAAGATGTGGATGTTTCAATGACTACACGGTCACCTTCATCTTATAACACAACCAGTAGAAGATGTGGATGTTTCAATGACTACACGGTCACCTTCATCTTATAACACAACCAGTAGAAGATGTGGATGTTTCAATGACTACACTGTCACCTTCATCTTATAACACAACCAGTAGAAGATGTGAGTGTGATGTTTCAATGACTACACTGACAAATGACCAGTGTGAAGCTTACAAGACTTATGTAGTGCACGAGATGGTAACGAACCAACTGACTGTACTCCATACCTATGCACACTAAGGTAGAAAATAGTGTGATGAGATGGTAAAAAAAATTATAGAAAAAGTACACAAGATGGTAACAATGTGTTGTAGTCGATTCGGTTATTCGGAACCAATGCCCTATTCGTCTTTGTTCAATACTGGCCCGCTGCAGGGTATCCTAATTTACACCCAGAGTTCCGGACCTTATTACCCATCTTCCGGTTCCTCCTTTAGTTCTAGACCTCATCGTCCGTCTTCCGGTTCCTCTTTGGTTTAAAGCACCCGGAACACTCAAAGTTTCAAACCTAATCATCCTTCCCCGGCTTCCTGCTTGAGTTTCAGACCTCAGGTTCCTCCTTGGATTCAAGATTTCATCACCCGTTCTTCACTTCCTCCTAGGTTTCCTGAGACCTCATCACCCGTCCTCTGGTGTCTACTTGGTTTCCTGAGACCTCGTCACCAGTCCTCTGGTGTCTACTTGGTTTCCTGAGACCTCGTCATCCGTCCTCTGGTGTCTACTTTGTTTCCTGAGACCTCGTCACCCGTCCTCTGGTGTCTACTTGGGTTCCTGAGACCTCGTCACCCGTCCTCTGGTGTCTACTTGGGTTCCTGAGACCTCGTCACCCGTCTTCTGGTGTCTACTTGGGTTCCTGAGACCTCATCACCCGTCCTCTGGTGTCTACCCGTCCTACGGTTCCTCCTTGGGTTTTACACCTCATTATCTGTCCTCCATTTCATCTATGGGCTCAACACTTCATCACCCGACTTCCGGTAACTCCATGGGTTCCAGATCTCATGACCCGTCCTCCAGTTCCTTCATCCTCAATATTTCATCACCCGTCTTCCAGTTCTCATTGGGTTCAATACCAAATCAAACGTCCTCTGCTTCCTCGCTGGTCTCCACAACTTATCGCCAGTCGTCCTCTGGTTCCTTCCTGGTCTCCACACCTTATCGTCAGTCGTCCTCTGGTTCCCCCTGGTATCCACACCTTATCGCCAGTCGTCCGGTTCCTCCCTGGTCTCAACACCTTTTCGCCAGCCGTCCTCTGGTTCCTCCCTGGTCTCACCACCTTATCGTCAGTCGTCCGGTTCCTCCCTGGTCTCCACGCCTTATCGCCAGTCGTCCGGTTCCTCCCTGGTCTCAACACCTTTTCGCCAGCCGTCCTCTGGTTCCTCCCTGGTCTCCACACCTTATCGCCAGTCGTCCTCTGGTTCCTCCCTGGTCTCCACACCTTATCGCCAGTCGTCCGGTTCCTCCCTGGTCTCCACACCTTATCGCCAGTCGTCCGGTTCCTCCCTGGTCTCACCACCTTATCGCCAGTCGTCCTCTGGTTCCTCGCTGGTCTCCACACCTTATCGTCAGTCGTCCGGTTCCTCCCTGGTCTCCACACCTTATCGCCAGTCGTCCGGTTCCTCCCTGGTCTCAACACCTTATCGCCAGTCGTCCTCTGGTTCCTCCCTGGTCTCCACACCTTATCGCCAGTCATCCTCTGGTTCCTCCCTGGTCTCCACACCTTATCGCCAGTCGTCCTCTGGTTCCTCCCTGGTCTCCACACCATATCGCAAGTCGTCCGGTTCCTCCCTGGTCTCCACGCCTTATCGCAAGTCGTCCGGTTCCTCCCTGGTCTCCACACCTTATCGCCAGTCATCCTCTGGTTCCTCCCTGGTCTCCACACCTTATCGCCAGTCGTCCTCTGGTTCCTCCCTGGTCTCCACACCTTATCGCCAGTCGTCCGGTTCCTCTTTAGTTATAACGTAATAATTCATTGAAAATATTTATCTTCAAAGATTTATTTAAAAGCTGGTTGCCGCTTGGGTATATTTCTTTCAGTCTTCTGATTGAATCCATCTGCCACTTACTATATAACTGGTTTTTATAGTCTACCTTTAAAAATTTAATCCTCCTGCACGCCTTTGCAGGTTCTCACTAAAATTAATCTAAAAACCTGTTTCGGGCAATCGCAATAAATCAACGCAATTTGTAGGAGTTTATGCCGATGAAACAGTCATAAATAATAATACATACACGTTTTTGTATTTATTTTTATGTCAGAATAACGAATCATCAGATATTTGTAACAAAAGAAACCCCAGGGAACACCCTCTATAACAAGTACGATAAACATGGACATACAAAAGTAACACCAGGGAACACATACAAGAATAAACCAATGAAAATATTTGTAACTTTTTTTAAAAATCTATATAAACAAACTTATGTACATAAATCCTCGCTTTTTCTCCTTGTGATTGTATACGTCGTGTTATGATATCTATATAAAGGATAACGATAATATAGCCCAGAGCACTCAATTCAAACTGCTATATTTTACAGAGTCATTCAGATCTTATTATTTTGTTAACTCACAGTAAAACGAATCGCTGGTGATGATTTGCAACGGAGAAAATAAATAGCAAAACAGCAGTGACATGAAACAATTGAGAAACATACAACGGCAACAGCAGGTGTAACATCACCGGTTCATCAATATTTCATTAGCTTTTCACTAACATTTATGAATTTGTTTAAAAATAAATCCCAGGAATAAAGAGCAGCTTAAACTGACACATGCAAACCGCACGCCTCCACGACATGGTCATTGTTACCGGGAACATACAAACCAGATGAGAAACACGTTTCATAATTTTTTAAAAAGATTTGATCGTTCATCCTTCCAAAGGGTTACTGTGGACACTGGTCACTGCTTCAGTCGTGATTAAGTTTAGCTGGCTGAAAGAGAATAAAATATATAATGTATTGTAAGAAGCAGAAGCTGACCATTATCATACAAATACACACGTATCCTAATAAAACATTGAAAATAGGAAAAAAGCTATTACTATCAATTTCATTTATAATGTTGTTAAATTTCAGAACAAAGCTATCGTTGTCTGGAATTTTATATCGTAGATTAAGTCAAATAAAAAGGGGACGCATACATAAAGATCCGGAAAAGATTCCACTTTTTAAAACAACACAAATTTTCAAAGCAAATTATGTTACCTTCCACACAGGAAACCGCACAAATACAGGTTCGTACACCTCCAGCGGACCCTCTGTGAACTCGTCCGAATAATGTAGTATTTCTGGTACCACTCCACTCTTCTCACTTCCGGTTTCTGGCAGTTTATTTGTTGTTGACTGTTTGTCGTTGTTATTTTCTGATTCAGCACCATTTTTATCAGTTTCACGAGGATTTGATTCTGCTTCTACAATGACTTCACGTGCTTCCTTTTCAACACCATTTCCGTTTTCTGTCTCGTCCACCTTTTTAACTTTGCCTGTGGATTTTTTAATTTTAGCACGTTTACTCCTGGCATTCTCGCGTTCTATTTTTACTTTAAGAAAGTCGTATACACCTTTTGGGTTTCGATGCTTAAATTCAAAACTGTTTATATTACTTTCGGTGCTGAGTTTCCACTGACTCCTGGTGCTATGGCTGCCATAATTTCTCTGTGTAAAATCCTTTTTTATAGTGACCTTGACCTCCCTTGGTGGGGGAGTTTCCTCCCTTAACTCCTCGTGTGGGCCATGGAAAAGCGGGTTCAAAGCTAGCTCTAGATTTAACTTCCTCGCGAAAAACTCACTAGCCATTTCGGCTCGTTTACTAAGGACTCAGTTCACATCAAACTCAGTTTCTCCATAAGAAAATTTCAGAAAGAAACACAACTAACTGAGGAGTGTTTTTCTTGCTGTCACGTTCATTTCCAGTTTCGACGTTCTTGTACACATATATACAGTTCCTTTACCCAGATTGATTCAATCAAATTATGTATACATTGATGTATATAAATGGTTCATGGTATCTGATTATTCTCGCGGATTATACCGTCGTACGTAAAGGTCGTCTGCTTTTCCATGTCTGTGTCGTGATTTGTTTAATATACGAGATGTTTGACTTGTGAATATATTCGCCGACATTAAAACGTCTCAATCGTGGAGTCTTGTAAGAGTGAAATCAATAAGGATTAATAATCTTTTTTAAAAATCTACTGGCAAAAATTGTCAAGTTGTCCTGTTCATAGCTGCTAATGGATATTCTTAAAACAACATTTTGGCTTATATCGACCACACATTATTCTATCACCTTCCTGTTACAGAATTACTCGTCCTGTGGATTTTTCTGTTGATACGTTGGTTTGTTCTCTATTGGCAACAAAATTACCTCGTGTTAGCCGAATGTAACAATATATTTATATATATATATTACATAAAAACAATAACAATAGACTTCCACACGACCTTGATGACGATGGCGCTTCCGTTCTCCACCCTATCTCCAAGTGAATATTTTATGTTTCATCATTCTTTGTCATTAATCCACAAAGCCAGTCACAGGTATACTAGAAGGGTGTTTTTAAATCGATACATAATCAACGCATATCCTGAAGAACAATATAATCTAATAAACTTATTAAAAAAAACTCGACACTTCAGATATACATTTACGATGGAAAAACTACCAAACGGAATATAAAAGACTAAAATGAAATTCCAAACCCGTTCTTCCAACTCCAGCCAGTTCCAGTTGTAAATATTCCGTCAAGTATGGCAGACAACACTTAGCAGCTTAATTCTAGCCTATCGTCACCTAGACGAAGGTATCCGGATATATATAATTCACCGCCATTGTCTTAAGACATTAGATATACCTATTGTGTTGTATGACGTCGCTTCATCGCGTGCGATCTATATCGGTCACGTTGCTATTGTTTTCGGGCTGTTGTATGTGAGACCCTGGTTTGTCGCTCCGATAGCTTTATTTTTCACAGACAATAACCGCTATCAGTGTTATGTTATCAGGGCCTCAATACCACTCAACCTGTACCACGATTTATATCCGATGGCAACACTTTATTTGGTATCAAATATTATTTCTATACATGAAAATTAGAAAAAAAAATCAAGGTCTGTCTAAGCTCAACGTTCACAAATGAAAGTATAATGATATCATCCTAATTATAATATCATAGCAAAGTCAAAATACATAATTTTGTTGTCTTTAACTGTTGTTTATCATGATAAGACAAGTAATCCCATACAGGGGAAATCTTATATACAAGGGAGATCACTCTATGTCAATAACAGCTCGGAAAACTACGATTTCGATATACTTTACTGTGTATACGAGGGCTGACTGATGAGTTGTGAGCCTCATATTTAAGGGTTTGACTTATGGCTGACATATTGCATTATTTTTCAACACAATCGCTTTCAATATACGATATACTTCTGCCAGCGATGCCACTTTTAAAGAAGTCTTTTTCTTGACCATTCAGAAAGTCCTCACTGCATGTATGACATCATCATTTGACCGAAAGTGAGCATTGAAAATTGCCTTTTTTAATTTTGGAAATACAGATGTAGATGAAAGTCTGATGTAGAGAGATAAGGCGAATAAGACGGGTGTTCAATCAATTCAAAACTGACACCATAATCTTTCCAGCTGATGGAACCATATTTGCCTTCTTTGGCGGGGATGAACCAGGGTGCTTACATGGTTTAGACTGTGCTAGACCTATCTTATGGGTCACTGCTACATTTCGACATAAACTTACCACCAGTCTTCGGGTATGCAGCCTTAAATACCCAAGGAATACGCGTCATAAAGAACAATATCGAGAAGATTGTAAAAAAACACAATAGAAATCACATTTCATTGTTAATTTAGAACTAGATACATTAAAGCCAAATAATGAATTAGACTGCAACATACAGCTGATTCTTGGAGGCTGTTGAGGAAAGTTTAAACAGATCGAACAAAATATTGAAATATAGATACGCATATGAAGTAGCACTATCCCCATAATTCATCAAGTTTCGTGATTCTGTAATCTAGATTTTATACAGAATCTAGACTGAGTTGTTCCCCTTTGATCAAAACTGGTTTTAAAGTCTTTCTTGTGGAAGTCCGGAAGATTGATATTCGCCTTTCACAACATGGACATTGCTCATACTATGTAGAAAAAATTCTATAACCAAAATACAGATGTGAAAACTCATTTGTACTCATTTTTACGTAAAGAAAAACAATTTCTGAATAAAAGCGCTAGGACAGTATTGTCATCATAACACATATCAGCACAGTTGATAATGCAATTTGAAAACTAATTTGATCAATCATTTCATCATTACAGTATATTATGTGATTACGTGCGTGAAATAGTTTGGAAAGGAAATGATTTGTAACAAATTCTACTGGAGTAAATAGCCTTGAATAGTTTTCCTTACTTTCCCTTTAAAAATTCCGGCATGAAACCTCATTATGACTTGTTGATATGTATATCAAGGTTGTGGCATATTTACCGAATGACATGTATAGTCAAGGCTGTGGCATGTTTACCGATTGACATGTATAGTCAAGGCTGTGGCATGTTTACCGATTGACATGTATAGTCAAGGCTGTGGCAAGTTTACCGATTGACATGTATAGTCAAGGCTGTGGCATGTATAGTCAAGGCTGTGGCATGTTTACCGATTGATATGTATAGTCAAGGCTGTGGCATGTTTACCGATTGACATGTATAGTCAAGGCTGTAGCATGTTTACCGATTGACATGTATAGTCAAGGCTGTGGCATGTTTACCGATTGATATGTATATCAAGGTTGTGGCATGTTTACCGATTGACATGTATAGTCAAGGCTGTGGCATGTTTACCGATTGACATGTATAGTCAAGGCTGTGGCATGTTTACCGATTGACATGTATAGTCTAGGCTGTGGCATGTATAGTCAAGGCTGTGGCATGTTTACCGATTGACATGTATAGTCAAGGCTGTGGCATGTATAGTCAAGGCTGTGGCATGTTTACCGATTGATATGTATAGTCAAGGTTGTGGCATGTTTACCGATTGACATGTACATTCAAGGCTCTGGCATGTTTACCGATTGAAATGTATATCAAGGTTGTGGCATGTTTACCGATTGACATGTATAGTCAAGACTGTGGCATGTTTACCGATTGATATGTATAGTCGCTGTGATTTCTAAGGTGAAGTTGGCACTTGCTGTCCACGGATACCAGCAGATCTTGGCGAAACATAAAAATATAAAAAAAAAGATACTGGGTTTTATGTAACATTATGGATCCACTGTACTCATTTAGTGATTTTCTTTTCTATTTTTGATTTGTTTTTGTGTCCCTCCATATCAATGGTATCATATGCTTGTAATAAACAGTAAATAATTAAAACTAGGGTTTTAATGCCCTTCGTTGTTACAGAATGTATAAGTTGAAATAAGTGAATTCCGTATATAATCCATCTCCCAGTCGAAGTATACCAAACCGAGAGACGTACAGAACTCAGATATGTGATATTTACGTCTCTGTCAAACCATAGCAAAAGGAACTAGTTCTGTTCTGCCCTTTTAAATACTTTACCGTATATATATAAGGGAGACTACTCAAAGTTGAACCATCCCTGTATGTGTCTAAGCCGACGATTGTTCTAATGGTTTACTAGTTTATCATCGCAAGCTTTTAATGAATAGATGATCAGACGTAGTATGTATTTACTAATTTTCAAGATACGGTTTTTTTATCGGAATGCGTACGTGTACATACGTGATTTTATCAAATCATAATACATGTATGTTAAGCATTAAATTAAAAAATCAAGCTCCATATATTGGCAAGTTGACAAAACTTTATGACGGGAAAAGTATCGTAAATTAGAGAAATTTTTAATGCCGTTGTGAAAGTTTTGGTAAACTAGATGGCGCCCTTCATCTTGACGAGCCGGATGAGGTATGTCAGCTGTCCAACCTTTGTGCTTTTCTGTCAGCCGTCTGGTTTCACTTCCGTCCGTAATAATCAGAAAGAAACAACTTGTTTTTAATCATTTTGATTTAATTAAAGAAGAAGATTTTCTCACATTTTACAAGGTAATCTTAAATGAAACCCTTACAAACTGAATGACCCATTTAATATCATTATAAAGACGACACAGTGTAAAATAAAGGATGATAAACTATTTATAAACATATACTTAAATATATATACATATATATATGATGATAACATTTACATTTTTTACATTATGCCGACATCTTTGAAAAATGGACAAATGGGCATGGTTAATTGGTAAGTCGATACCAGAAATATGCCTTCGTATATCTGGCATTGCATAAACATAGAAACAAGGGACACGTACTGTTAACATACGATACAAAATAATGACAATTTAGGGAATCAAGACCTTGTCTAAACACCGAAGGAATATGATGTTTTAGTGGCATAAATGATCTACTCGTCAAAAAATAGACTTAATATAACCATTTTGTTTTTAATTTATAATAAATTACATGTTTTTTAAACTTTAAAAAGAAAGAATCCTTATTAAATACAGGAATTCTAACACGATACCAACCGAGACATTTCGGATCTTTCTTTTAAAAAGTGAAATCAAGGGTTGAGATGGCCTGGATGAAAGGTATTCCCTGTGTACGTAATAAATGCATCTAATTCAACGGGAGATAACACACAGTTCCATCAAGGTGTTTAATCTAAACAAAAATCAATTTCATTCAAAGAATATATTACTAATTTGGATATGAGATGTGATATCACTGAATTGTGTTTATAATTAATCAATCTATACAGGTACATGGGTTGATTGAATGGTATTACCTGATTATATATAATTTACATTGAAGATCATCTTATTGAGTTCGATATATTACCCATATAAGTGACTGGATAATTGACTGAATATTCACGTGACAAATGTCAACAAATACACTTGAGTACGACGCCTTCCATTATGGGCATATACATTAAAGGGGAAAATACATTAAAGGGGAAAATGGCAGTAATTCTAATCGGCTCAAGGTAATGCAAAACTAACACAACATGCTAACTCATGCGAAATGCTATTCTACCTAGGTAAATTAGAGATAGTTCTGAAAGGGGCCAGGTACGTGAATATACATACTTATAAATGTAATTACTGTACAATACATAAGTATATTCTCTATAACACGTACCAACGATGTAATAGGGGTTCGGGCCACTACGACCCGTGATATCTGTGAATTACGCCTTCAATCATTAACAAATCAAAACTACTACGAGTAAGAACATAGATAATATATATATGGCACATTTTTATCACTCATATAACTACATTTACTGTCTTAAGAACTACACAGAGCTTCCAGATTACTGCTTTATACTCGTTGATACTCGGTAATGTTCGGCAGCTAACGTCAACATTCAGAAATATCAATCCGTTCGAGATTTCTCTGTGGTTTTATATACAGGCGAAGGCCTTGAATCCTTTGTTCATGGTCGTCCAACTTGGACGATCATAGTGTTTATGGCCAGTAGCTAATTCTGGACGTTTAGACTTGACCATAAACATGTGCTTGTTGAAGAGCTGGGCGTACGGCTTTGGCTGATAAACCTTTATTGGTACATGATGATGTAAATAGTAGGACAAGTCCATGAAACCTCCTCCTACACGCACCATCGTCTGCTTGCCTTTCTCGCGCATGCGTCGTTTGGGCTAGTGAAGAGATATGTATACTATTAATATGAAATTTTATACGTTGCGGAATCTAAATAACATCGGAACATTTGCAATAAGATTGATACATATTAGGACATGTAAGCAAGATAGAGAGGCACCTGTTGCTAGTAACAACTTTGCGCTAGACGCACGGATGGTAAATTTGGGCTTAGAAACAGAAAATAATTCTAAAGGAAAAACTATTTACTTCTTATACAAAATAGATTTTTACTTTAAAAGATGACACTTTTATAGAGAAGCAACAACACAAATTTTCTGAACATGCTGATCTTAGACATATTACTGTAAAAACTGTAACTTAATGAGTACTTACGACCCATATATCGTGTGGTACATAGACAGGTTCAGCAGGAACTTCCTGTGTAATATGTTCCAAGTCCGTTACAATCACGTGGTCTGCACGGGCTTTAAATTCGTCCCCGTCATTTGCTGATTTTGACCTGCGTCCTAGCTTCTCTTTCTTTTTCCTTGTCCTTGGTCGGCGTTTTCTTCGTCGATTTGATTCTTTCTCTGTCTTTTTTTCATCAACTTCCGGTTTTGCACTTGGTTTTGACTTTTGAAGATCGACTTCCTCAACTTCAGGAATAAGGTCATCACTGTTAGACCAATCGGAATCGGCGTTTTCTACCACTATGAGGTCCTCTGATGCATTATGGGTAATCTCAATGTAGGTCGAGTAAGAACTGTCCTTACGGGAAGACAGTCTTTCTCTTTCTTGTCTGATTGTCGAACTTACGCTATCCTCGGATCCAGGTCTCACGAGACGGTCACTGGGACCGGAAACAGGTCTCAAGGGGCGATAACTCATACTGTCATGCGACCCTATGCTCGCCTTCCGTAAATCTCTACTAGCTATAAGTTTAGGGGAACTAGTAAGTTTATCATTTCCAATGATATTTTCCTTTACACTAGAATTTTTCACATCTTTTAAATTAACTATACGCTTTTCATTAGAATATTCACTTTTTCTCGAGTTTTTGCTCGATTTCTTTTCAGACTTTTCCCCAGAAACCAACGTCTCCGACGTTTCCAACATATTTTGTACGCCTCTTTCAAATTTAGAAGTCGATTTCTTGACACGTGCCTGTCGCGGTGTTTCTTTAGCCTCCGATTCGGCTAGCTGAGACGGATTTTTCCGCCGACTTGCCGACATGACACGTTTTGGCGAACTGTTTCCTTGTACCATTATGTTACCAGATAGTTAACACTTGTAACTCATGTCCGGCCGGTATCAAACCACTACAGACCGAGGTTGTTAGTTTTAAACATTCACCTTAAACTGACCAGGTAGACAATCCAACACGCGTGCAAACATATATATCACACCTGTTGTCCAAGTATATCTCGTTGTCCAATAATACTTAACAGTTCCTATGATTTAAACCAGCAGGGAGACCTTATACAGCTATCAACCTAAGCTTCTACGTATATATATAATACATTGTACATTCCACTAATGACCCATATGGTTTAAAACGTGAGATTCTATAAACGTTCCGTGTAGCACAAACAAGTGACGGATGTACACAATATACGCACCTGTGTATGCCCTCACCTATACCGTAATTGACTACTTCACCTGTGGGTAGGTAAATGACAATCCGTTCCAACATCAACAACACTTTGAGTCTTGCTTTGATACATAAAATATCCTCCACGGCCACTACGACAGGAAATCAATTTTTTCGTGACTGAAATATGTTATTTGCATATTTTCTCCATAAACGAGTTTACTGTTGATACGGTCGTAATTCGGTTAGATTAATTTCCCCAGGTAGGTAAGCTAGCACAAACAATTGTAATCTTTTTTATTGGAACCTTATCAGAGAAGTCAAGACGGTCTTGTAATATAAACCGTTAGCTATAGGCCTACTTACAAATACACACAATATATATACCGGCGTTAGTGTTGTACACTGCTGTAAAAAAACCCGTCACGATTCACTACAACATACTAAGTTTCATGTATTTGTATTTCTACAAGACCTTAAATCGTCTGAACTGCCTGTATTTTTACATTTGAATAGAAATTATATCAATATAGCTTGTCTATACATATATACAAGTAAATAATATATAGGTATAAAATTATTATCTGTATAAGAATAGTGCATTCTGATGGGGCACATTGATAAGGTCATACTGATTATAACAGATGTTTCTTAAAGCCATTGTCACATATACTCGTCTTTAATACATAGATTGATTTATCTTTCTTTAGATCAGTTGTTATATGCATGTATTGGTGGGATAAGCGTTATGTACATTTAATGTATCTAGTAAACATCGTATCAAGCTGCTGTTATTTTCCTCACACGAAATCAGTGTCATTTTGCGACATCAAACCATTGTTTATGACGTCATTAACAAATCTGATCAAAATAATGGTATATACTTAATATATCATTATAACACCATGTTCGTAACAAACTGTAATGTTGAGTATTCTATGTCACATTTTCTTGGAGAAATAACACTTTGAATACTTAATTAAATTTGTCATTAAATAAAGCAGGCATTGCTTATAGCAACGACGTAATCAACCGAAAATGCCAATGTTCACAAAGACATTGATTGTATGTTTAACGTGCATGTCTCCGTTTCATAGGACGACGTTCTGAACTGTCATCTTTCGTACATCAGGACAGCTGATGGGGCACCGATAGCTAGAGAAGCCCTTTATCATTATAACCGATATTCTATTGACGATAAGATAAAATGATGTGTACGGAAATGTCTGTGTAGCTAACATCAATAACATTACGTCACTATGTCATGTAAACCATCAATTCGCAAGAGGCTTTATCATCAATCTACCGGCAGAAATATCACAATCGATTTAGAAACCACAACCTATAAATATTTGATATAAATACAGAACAGTCTAGTTAAATGAAAATAGTCATTGGAGTTTGACTTTATAAGTCATCTGAACAGGATCAAAGTAAACGGGGTTTTTTTTTATTTATTTGGTCCTTAATTCAGTAGATTGAAGTTAGCGAAATCTCACTAATGGCAATCAGTCCAGTGAACTCGGCCTACTGGACGGCGTCTTGATGACATGTGGCTTCAAAATACAAATGAGACAGTACCTTGGAGCAATATTTGACAATATATTTAAGAAATGTCAAAGAATTTAAGCATTCGGCAATGCTTATCCACCATCTTATCTTGTTATCACGTGATCGCACGTGCATGTGACCGCTGAATGCAATCTTGCCTTCCTAGTGACCATGTTTATGACGGGTGCCACTCACAGCTGGGGACACGTGGTTTCCACCGATTGCTTATACTGATACTGGTTGATTTTAGCTAGTTTAGAGTTCAGTCAACGAGAATACACAACTAAACTACCCCCAGTCTGGTCGCTTCGGAGATGGCACGTGCGTGTCCCTATTGAACAGTGTCCATAAATTAACACGGTGTTAATTTTTTTTTAAAGATAAACAGTGTACCACACATGCTGTTGTACCGAGAGTTTACATTCATTATGTACATGTGGCGTTTGATATACCTTTCGCATACAAAATCTATAACGCCATCTTTCCTTAAAGAAAACTGCTGACGCTAATGGTATTTCCGTTCTCCAGGAATGGATTATGATAATTCTGTCTGAAGCACCTATAGACGTGTTTAAGTTTTCGTCCTGATTTACACTAAACTGAACAATATTGTTTCAAAAAAGTAATATTTCGTCTCAAGCACCGTTATATCATTTGATCGATCAGTGTCAAATAGTTATCTCCCTTAGCACCTGTCATGCATGGAATTCGCAATAATGTATTTATGTACGTATGTAATGGCTTCTTTGCTTTTGGTCATAACGTGACTTCCTGGTTATCTCCCTTGATGTTCGTTGGCAAATGTTAAGTTGCATTTTTGTCTGTTGTCTCCCCTGACATTCGTTCTCATGAGACCTTCGTGAACGGTGTTTTCGCCTTGTCGTTCGTCGTATCGTTTGTATTGGTCTTTTTGACATATTCCTATACGTGTGATGCTTTCTGATTTTGTACAGAACAATTGTGTTCTACCTGACATTTAATGGCGGAACAGTCAACCGGCAGACTGACGAAGCTAAAATAGCATTGAGAGACAAATTCATTATATTCAAATGTCAATATTTTATTTGCCGGTGAGTCTGTAAACAACTACGTCGATAAAAATAACCACTATTGACTAAACACTGATCATCATGTATTGTTAATTAAACAATTCCGGAAGGAGGCTAAATCAATACCACGGGAGAGCACTACACATTATGTCACATATTGTTGGTCTGTGGAATGATAAAATCGTTGAATGTGTGTCTGGTTACATTATGTGCACCCGTGACATGACCCAAGATTGTAAAGAATTGCGACTTCTATACCATGTATTATTTGTTAAACTCCGTATGTGAGCATAGCATATACCGTCTCCTTTCTCCTTAACATGCTTGTTTTACAAACGAGTCCCGAATTATCAGGAAGTGGTCGTTGATTAATTCACTGAAGTCATTTTTAAACGATATTCAACTTGTCAGCAAACCATGGGATTCCGACCCTCAGCGACACACATTTTATCTACAAACCTCGGGATTTCGACCCTCAGCGACACACATTTTGTCTACAAACCTCGAGATTTCGACCCTCAGCGACACACAGTTTGTCTACAAACCTCGAGATTCCGACCCTCGGCGACACACATTTTGTCTACAAACCTCGGGATTTCGACCCTCAGCGACACACATTTTGTCTACAAACCTCGAGATTCCGACCCTCAGCGACGCACAGTTTGTCTACAAACCTCGGGATTCCGACCCTCAGCGACACACAGTTTGTCTTCAAACCTCGAGATTCCGACCCTCAGCGACACACTGTTTGTCTACAAACCTCGAGATTCCGACCCTCAGCGACACACATTTTGTCTACAAACCTCGAGATTCCGACCCTCAGCGACACACAGTTTGTCTACAAACCTCGAGATTCCGACCCTCAGCGACACACAGTTTGTCTACAAACCTCGAGATTCCGACCCTCAGCGACACACATTTTGTCTACAAACCTCGAGATTCCGACCCTCAGCGACACAGTTTGTCTACAATCCTCGGGATTCCGACCCTCACGACACACATTTTGTCTACAAACCTCGAGATTCCGACCCTCAGCGACACATATTTTGTCTACAAACCTCGGGATTCCGACTCTCAGTGACACACATTTTGTCAACAAACATCGAGATTCCGACCCTCAGAGACACACATTTTGTCTACAAACCATGGGATTCCGACCCTCAGCGACACACATTCTGTCTACAAACCATGGGATTCCGACCCTCAGCGACACACATTTTGTCTACAAACCATGGGATTCCGACCCTTAGCGACACACATCTTCCAGTTAACAACACACATCTTGTCGGCATTGCTCAGCATTCATTCCACAACATCCTGTCGGTGTGACGTCATTGGATTGAGGTTGACAAACATAGGTGGAAATTAGTATTTTACACGAAGTGTTGATTAAATGACTACTTTGTCTCACACAGAATGCAGAATCCTACTAAACAAAGACAAACTCAGAAATCATTCTAAGTACAGCATTTCTTGTTTAATTGAACATATTCAATGACATAATACTTATCATGTTATATAGTGTTAGGTTTTCTAGTTTGTTTGGTATATTTCCAGCTTTATAGTTTACAAATAATGATAATAATAAAACTGCGTATGAAACAACCTGAGGTTGAACGCGTTCAAAATCGAAAGCTTTTTCCGGGATTTCGTCGTCCCTGAATGTTTCTAAATTTTCTCTATATCAGTTTTTTTTTCATTACTCTTTAACGTTTCGTATATAAAGTGATAATGAATCAGTTACAAAAACCATGAATGTCAAAGCCATGGGGATACATTGCTACATATTTACTGTCGACATTTGGTATCTTCAGAATGTTTTTTTATTGGCGGTGTCTGTAGATAATAAACAACTTATTCAATACTAACAACTATCTATGTTTTACACTCTCTGTATATCTTCTATAAATATCCTTGTACGAATTTAGCGGGAACCGATTTTAACCCTTAAAAGGGGACAACAACAGGGACCCTTGTCTTTTCAAAGAGTTCCCAACACCAACTAGAAACAAGGGTACCGATACAGTAAAAATAACATACATATTTATCTCGTAGTACTAAAATAGTTGTAAGCATGCCACTAATTGCATATGTTGTATAACAGTTTTATGTTGTATAACAGTTTTATGTTGTATATCAGTTTATGTTGTATATCAGTTTATGTTGTATATAAGTTTATGTTGTATATCAGTTTATGTTGTATATAAGTTTATGTTGTATATACGTTTATGTTGTATATAAGTTTTATGTTGTATATCAGTTTATGTTGTATATCAGTTTATGTTGTATATAAGTTTATGTTGTATATCAGTTTATGTTGTATATAAGTTTATGTTGTATATCAGTTTATGTTGTATATCAGTTTATGTTGTATATAAGTTTTATGTTGTATATCAGTTTATGTTGTATAACAGTTTATGTTGTATATAAGTTTATGTTGTATAACAGTTTTATGTTGTATATAAGTTTATGTTGTATATAAGTTTATGTTGTATATCAGTTTTATGTTGTATAACAGTTTTATGTTGTATATCAGTTTATGTTGTATATAAGTTTATGTTGTATATACGTTTATGTTGTATATATAAGTTTATGTTGTATATCAGTTTCATGTTGTATATAAGTTTATGTTGTATATAAGTATTATGTTGTATATAAGTTTATGTTGTATATAAGTTTTATGTTGTACATAAGTTTATGTTGTATATAAGTTTATGTTGTATATAATTTTTATGTTGTATATAAGTTTATGTTGTATATAAGTTTATGTTGTATATAAGTTTTATGTTGTATATAAGTTTATGTTGTATATAAGTTTTATGTTGTATATCAGTTTATGTTGTATAACAGTTTTATGTTGTATATCAGTTTATGTTGTATATACAGTTTATGTTGTATATAGTTTATGTTGTATATCAGTTTCATGTTGTATATAAGTTTATGTTGTATATAGTTTATGTTGTATATCAGTTTCATGTTGTATATAAGTTTATGTTGTATATAAGTTTATGTTGTATATCAGTTTATGTTGTATATCAGTTTTATGTTGTATATAAGTTTATGTTGTATATAAGTTTTATGTTGTATATCAGTTTATGTTGTATATCAGTTTCATGTTGTATATAAGTTTATGTTGTATATAAGTTTTATGTTGTATATCAGTTTCATGTTGTATATAAGTTTATGTTGTATATAAGTTTATGTTGTATATAAGTTTATGTTGTATATAAGTTTATGTTGTATATAAGTTTATGTATTACTTCTACTTTCTGGAATAAAGCAGTCAGTGATAATATCTTTATTATTCTTGTTGTATAAAATCAGTCCTGTGTTGATTCTGTCGCTTTTAAACGGACGATGAACAGTATAATTCTACATGAAATGAAAATTGGCCCATTTTTTCCAACAGAAAAGGATTCAGTCCCGTTTTCATTTCTCCATCAGCTACATGCGTTCAACACATGTGTGCATGTTAAATATCTAAATACGCTCCAATCTGTGAATACAGGTATGTGGATTCCGACATCTTGTCTAGTCTGACCTACATGGTACATTAGTCGATAAATTGAATAAGACAAGTCTCATTACTAAAGAAAATGAGATAATTTCACGTTTGCTATGGATATATTCCGGCCCAGAAACCAATTTTGATACAATAGATACATAGAACTAAGTAGTACATTTGTTTATACCGTAAACTTATGCTGAGAATGGTGAGTTTGAGGAAATTGTATCATTCCTTGTATGTACACAGAGAAGTCTACACCATTTCCTATTACACAGAGAAAGCAACGTTTTTCATTAGTACACAGAGAAAACAGCGTCATCATGTTGGTGGTAGTGAATTAGTGGGCGTGGTGGTTTCTTCGGCGGAGCCCGAGTCTTAACTACCAAGAATCGGTCATTGGTATCAGCACTCCTCCGGTCATACACATCCAGGGGCCGGTACTGACGCGGGGGGAGGGGCGGTCGGGATATCACCTTCTTCGGAGTGACAGGGCGTTTTTCTCTGATCTCCGGCTAGAAAAAAAGCCCAGGATGTTACGAACACTATGGATAAACAGTCCCTGATAGATATTTAGAATGTAACAAAGACATTTCTCAACTAATCTGATTCATAGAATTTCGACCTGTGGTTACACAGTCGCCATGTATTCAAACTAGAATTCCCAAAATCAAATGTTCCGAAGTACAATTGATCGATGAAATATGGACAACATCAGAGTTTCAGGATATCTCTTCATCAAATTCCATTTTACTGATAACAGTGAAATTTTCGTGACTAGTTTGATACATCTTACAAGGAATGGAATCGAATGTAAGATTTTGTTTATTAATAATGGAAACCTTAACCCAATCATAGCTCCTCTTAGTGTCATTATACACGTATACTACTGGATATAGGACATAATTCGCCTGTTATCCAGTGAAGTTCCCCGAGGCTCACACAAAATTAAAAACTCGTTTCATAAAATTTCATATGAAACGGAAACTTATTTTTAAATCCTATACATGTTTTAAAAGTGATAACCGGGTAGTTGCATAACTTTAAGGTATAAATAAGTATATCATAAGCACTGATGTCCCAAAACTCCTCTGTCGATTCGTGAAAAAAATGCTTACCTCCCATACCGGATGTGGCTGAATAAATACTGGCTCGAACGGTTCGATAGCTCTAGCAGGCACTGTTTTATCTATATAGTGTATAACTTCCGGTCTGTGGTCGTTTTCTTGTACCGAGTATTCATCTACATCATCGTGGTCGTCTTCATCAGGTTGCACGACTTCTACCACGAGTGGAATATCATCATCTGTCATAGGTCGGACGAGTTTCTGGTCATCAACGAAGGCGGTTTTATACTCCCGGTGCGTTCGATCCTCACCCATGAATTTAATACGCCGGGAAGGAGGACCGGAACTGGAATTAGGCTGTTGATCTGGGTCTGTATCCATCCATGCCGTTTGGGTTCCCGTGTCTTCAGAAAATTTGATAACACTGTATCTCTGAGAAACATCGCTGCTTGTGTCCTTTATCTTTTTGAGAGAACTCTTTGGCTTTCTTTCTTTACGAATTATGTCACTTTGATTAGAATCACTGTCCTGGTTGTGTGGTTTGTGAACTACTACATCGGAATTTCCGCTTGCTACATGAATGGTATTCGATCCTCTACTGGGCAGACCTGGTCTTTTTGGATTATGAATAACGACGTTTGTGCCTCCTCCGGTCACGCGAAGTGTTTCCTTAGGAGCGGATGAGCCCCTTCGAACATTGTCAATAGTTATGTTGGTAGGGTCCTTTGATGTTCTTCCTGTATCCACACTGAATGAGCTCCCTTTTCCAAAGTTACTGATAACAAACTTGTCATGTTCCGGTTCCGGATTTTTCGATGCTCGCGATTTTCTCCCATATCCGTCTCCCATAGTCACTGAGAGATTCCGGGGGTCTGAACCCCATTTTACAGCTACAGACTTTGACTCGGATCCAATTTCGAATGCAAGTGTCCTTGGTTTTCTTTTCACGGTATCCTTCACCTTTTCACGGGACTCCCTTGCAGAGTGAGGTCGGTCTTTCAGACGTGGACGCTCTTCATACGATGCTTCAGACCTACTTTCCAAAACATTAGATTTTGGCTTCCGTCGTGAAACATCTTTAACCTTCTCACGTGAAAGTCTTGCGGAACTTGGCCGATATTTCACGAGAGATTCTTCGTCACGTGATGTATCAGAGTCGCATCTATCATCGTATTTCCGGGCAGATGATGGTCGTTTCTTCAGTGCCTGTTTTTGACTCTTACCAGAGCTGGGTCTGTGACCCCGAGTACGACCCCCTGGTGACCAAGCATTTGTCCATGTCAGTTCGTTGTAAAGCCTTTCTCGGACCCGGCGCTCAGCTTCAATGACATCGCAAAGATGTTTTAACTGAAAGTCGTCAAAACAGTAGATCATTTTTGTTTTTAAACTTTTTGAACAAGCATCTACAATTTTAAATCCATGTTGAACCAAACAGTGTATGTCACAAGGAAAACCCGACCACTGTGTACATACCGACGATTGACTACGAAGTCCTGCGATAGAATCACACACGCGAGGTATTGTTCCAAATTTTCATAGGTCTTTTGAAATTAAACAGTTATGTGTATTGCTTCAGGGATTGTCTATGTCTCAATGGTTTCAGGCGGGCAATTTCCACTGTTGAGAATGTATAGACAAAAGATCAATATAAATCGTGGTATTTACCAGTCCTGTATGTATATATTCTACTCGGCAGATAAATATATTCGATGCTTGAATGGATGTTTTAAAGAACGTTTATTTTCGAAGACGTGAAATAGTCTGGCTGGCCTTCATACAAGATTAGACCTACCGTTCCAAATCAGATTGAATAGCGTGTTTTTTAAATTTGTCTTTACAAAGAGCCCAAAAGTACGTGTGGAGCTAATGATCCTTTAAATGATTTGAATATTGCCGTGCAAAAGATACATATTACTTATACAGCGTGATGGTGTGACAGAGATACCATTTAAATACTACTTGAATTGTCCTGCTCGACCGGCATACGTAATAAATGCGTCATATATCTTTTTTATTTTCTGAATTTGAATGCGTGAAAAAAACCACAACATCCAAGTGTTTAAATCTAACGGTAGCTGTTTTTTTTTTAAAGAATATTACTACAGAGCTAGGTCCTGAAGATCACTTCCGGTTACGTCACTCCTTGACAAACTATGATTTGTTGATTTCATGAAACGAACTTTTGTGTTGTTATAACAGCAAAAGTTTGCTTCAAAAACAGAAGATATACAAATATATCTAAAATTGATTTTACAGTACCGATCAAATGACGGTCAAGTAATAATTCCGAGTCCCGGATACATGTATATGCAACGTATACTTTAAAAAAATGTTTCGATTTAGAACAGTTTTTATCGTGTGTAGAAAGTTAAGGTCACCGTGAGTATATTTTGATATAAATTGAAATAAATCTAGATAACCAAACTTATCTTCTATTAATACATTTACCGTTGAGAATTCGGCCCAAGTCCCTGTAGTGCCACCATATGAAAGAAGTTTAATTTAAAGCGGCTATTACCTTAGATTTCAGTATCGGGAAATGGAGAATTCGGCTTATGAATGATAAAATATATCCATAATAAAGCGATACATGCGCCAATAACGTCAAATTTGTTGTTTTTGTACATATTTTCGGCGTCGGAACATAGTTTATCTTAACTATTGTTCATAATCATGTTCACGCTCGGTTTAATTCGAAGAAAGCCGAGTGGGTCACATGGCTTGTCACGTGATGAAGTCATTTACATCCGCCGCAAAGAAAAAACAGATTACGACGTAAACAAACACACATGTCTTATGTATGACACTTGCTTTTGCGCCTTTCTGCTAATTCCTGTTGGCAGTAAATGATTCTATAGTGTTATAATATATAATTTCTAACCATCCATCTTATTAATTCGTTTTGTTTTGGCTTTGTCGTGCGAGAATTATCTATGTCAATCGTGGTCGCTAAACTAGTGGGCCCCAAAGGGGGTAAATACAATCGGAAAAGAAAAAACTCATTGTGCAGAAATGTACAGGAATTTATACTTTATCTGTACACATTAATAGATATTGCACTGTTTATTGTGAAAGCTATGTTTATCATCACGGTTGTTATTCTTACAGTAACACCAGTACCGTCATATTTTTACACTTAGAACGAATACCCCTAATTGGGTCCCACCTTGCAGTCAACAACAAACACACGTTGTCGATAGTAAATTCAAGCGAATAACACAACTATTTTCATTCAACATTTATCAGATAACACTTTTAGTAGTGTTGTTCATAACATACTCACGCGTCAAACACTCGACATTGGATCATAATCAATGACAGGCCGATACGTTATACGTTAAGCTAACCAGTCAAGCAGCAACTTCGCAAACTCCGAATCCGTATTCAGTCCAAGGTCCTCCTTCATATTTCGCCATCTATCGATCTCCTGTCAAATATAAATTCTTGCCTGTCCTCTTTTCTGGTCCGACTCCTTCCTCTTACGCTTTCTGGCAATTTCTGTAAGGTAACTTTAAGGTCCGCGTCGCCTTTTCGTATTTGCGTCCTCCATATTGCTTCTTTCTAGGCTTATACGCATATGCAGCATCAGGGTTACGAGCGATAATGTATAAATTAGATCAGGACCGCAATGTTTACATTCTTTATTTTTGAGATATCAATAAAAATGGTTGCAGTGACTTTTAATTTTAGTTATTAACAGAAAGTCTTAGTTTTGTAACATACTATTGGAAAATAGAGCGTTTTATATCGTTTTCTCGTAGTGTTTTTTTAACATTATGGTCGCTTTAAGTTAGATTTATATTCTTTTATCTAACTTTCCCTTATCGTATTTATGTCATAACATCACAGCACAAAGTCTTCAGAATCTGGTATGTTTTGGTTTCTGTATGTTTAAATAGTATATAAAAATATGCACTGTTTTTAAAAAATGCACTGTGAAGATATATATATGATCAATGAAGTAATAGCAACAGTACGGACAAGCGAATTGTCAAATGTTCGAGGCAACTTGCCCCTTTATCTGGACACAAATATTACATAAATTACAGCACAAACACAGAACATAAAACCAATACAAATCTAAATCGAGAGCGGTGGTGTAAATTTATATATATATCTACTGCTCTCCATTCATTTTTAATGTTACACGTTAAAACTCTCAACATTTATCCTTCCTTTTACAAAATTAAAAAAAAGAAACACTTTGAAATCATACCATTGGCTTTCACTAATTAAAATGCATTAGTAATCAATATAATTAGACTGTTCATTTAGAAGGTTAAATAACTTAACTAAATAACATGGAACACGACTTTGCATACAGAAGGCAGCTTCGACCAATATATTAAATTCAAATGTATGGTTAAAAATTGAAGTGGAGAAAGATTAGGAAAACCTCCTATTAGTAAAGGGAAATAACTCCTACAAATTGATTAGACTTAGTTAACACGTCAAATCAAGCAATAGATATTCTGACGTTGGAATTCATAGTTGACATATATACGAAAGCATTTAGCCGGTGCTGAGACCAGTCTATTCAAGTTGGCTTATAAGGAAACTGATTTGAGATTGTTTTAGGAGTATTTTCGTTGATTGACTCCTCAATGCTTGTTTCTGTGACTAATCATTTTGATAAGGTTTCACTAATTATGTGTATTTTTATAGACATCTACTATACCTCCTCTCATCCCCATGTGATGCTGAGATGGTAAACTCCAAATCCGGCACTGGAGTACACTGAATCTGGTAATAATGTTTTCACCTTTTTATGGCACCTGGCCTGAAGGGTCAAGTAAGTTACAGGGATACCGCGGCGTCCGTCGTCTATCAACTTTTTTTTTTTTAAAAATGCAACTAGTCATGAATGGCAAATTTGGTCTGAAGCATCATTTGGTGAAGATAAATCAGTTTTGTATAAATCTTCTATAAAAAATATCTTGTTCTTTAAGAATTGCATGATATTGTCCAAATTTGGTCTGAAGCATGCTTGGGCAAAGAGCAGTCACTTTTGAATGTATCGTGGTGTAAGGCTTCTGGGACGAAAGGGGCGGGGCCAAATAGGGAACAATATATTCATTTATGCTGTTCTTCATGAATTGCAGGATATTGTCCAAAATGGGTCTGAAGCATGCTTGGGTGAAGAGAAATTAATTTTGTATAAACCATGGGTCTCGACTCCCTGGGGCCAGAGGGGCGGGACCCAATAGGGGAATCAACCCTTCCTGTAGGAATGAATGGATTTTGTCTATATTTTGTTTGAATTATCCATTGATGAAGAGGAATACGTATTTAATAAACGTTTGGTTTCGGCCCTTTGGGGCGGGTGGGCAGGGCCAAAAAGGAGAAATAGAATAAATTCTTTTAAAATCCTTTTTCTTCTGTAGGATTACATGGAAGTTGTCCAAATTTGGCCTAAAGCATTCTTGGGTAAAGAGGAATCAATTTTGTATGAACGGTGGATCTCGGCTATGTATCACCGGACGGGAGTGATTGAGACCCAGTGAGTAAAGTATACAAATTCTTCAATATCATTCTTCATATGTAGGAATCAGCTGATGGGGCGTCACGTCACATCGCAACTGATACAGCCCAACACTCGACAGAAACTACGTGGTATGATAACGCCCGCTTTCTGTCGAGACTGGCTCTTCAAGCCTTATGTCTTGCTACGAAACAGTTTTTATTGATACGAACATGGAAGATACTTAAGTACTTAAAGGTACATCGTGTTGAAGACGGTTGTGACGTAAGCAAGCACCTGTGTGTTACCTGTCCATTCCTGTAACGTCGAAACAGATCTTGCTTCAATCAGCTGTTTTTTAGCATTGAGTTTTCTAATGTGAGCTGAAGATAGGCGTCAGAGGAATCTTGTGCGTCTATTCATTCGTCCATCCACAGGGACTTGACACGGTTTCCCAAACCACGATCCATACTTAATATGTTAACCGTTGAGAATTCGTGTCAGGTCCCTGTAGTGCTACCTTGTGAAACAAGTGTAATTTTTAGGTACCATCAATGACATTGCGAGTGTGCGACCATTATGACGTCAGCTTAGTGGGGATAAAACGGGGACGGTTAGCCGTTAAAATGGATGTACCTTCTGACGAAGTACACTTTTGATAATGAATCGTTTAGTTTGATTTAAATCAAGTTATGATTGGTATAAAACAGCAATATACTTTCGTCAGACAAATGACCAGTGTTGAGCATACTAGCACTGACGTACGTAGTGTACGAGATGGTACGGATCGACCAACTTTTTCGGCTGCTCTATAATCCTATGAACACTAAGGTCGAAAATAGTGTGACGAGATGGTAAATAGATTATAGACCAAAATAATACACCAGGTGGTAACCATGTACTGTAGTCAATTCGGCTACGCTTTGTTTAACACTTGGTCTTAATAAGCGAGAGTCTTTGACCCCACTCGTCCTATTCAGTACTGGCCCGCTGCGGCGTATCCAGTCTGAAAAAAAATGTTGTTTTCCCTGTCGACTATTTTTTTTTATTTTCCCAGTCAATGACATGATTTCGCTGTGTGGAATGATTTGTAAGTGCAGATTTAATGATCTGGAACTGTGAATGTTTTCGCTCTTATCTAGTGAAGTTCTTGCCTTCTTTCGTGTTCATTGAGCCGGACCCCGACTCCTGTCTGTTTCTCTGATATATGATGCGTCGCAATCCTTGCATCCGATTTTGTATACACATTCTTCTTCAATTTCTTTTCATAACCAAGTAATGACAGTCAGTCAGTCTCCTTACGTCCCCGAAAGTTATCTCCCCTTACCACAAGAAGTGTTGTTAAACTGCCTTCTAAAACACGAGAAGCAGACGCAAATGTTTTGAGGACTGAAGAACTACGACGGAAAGGAAAAATGGCGCGACTGTCTGATCACCGACGAGAATCGGCGGCAGCCAAAAGAGAGGAAAGACAAGCAGAAATACGGAAGCGACTGGAAGCAAAGATGACGAAAAATCTGTCACATGAGAACGATAAGGTGAAGGTAGATGAAAAACTGGAAAGGGCACGGATCTACAGAGAATTGAAGGCTGAAGAAAGACGGGAGAAAATCTGTAAGAAATTGGCAAGATTTCTAATTACAGAGAAACCAAACAGGATATCAACAGAAGAGAAATTAGAGCGTGCTCGAAAGAACAGGGAAAACGACTAGAAGGAAAGAGGGAGAAATGGGAAAAGAAAGAGAGAAAGATTGAAGCAATTAAAAGAAGCAGAAGCGTCAGCACACCTTTACCATCGTCAACTAAATTAGAAATTTAGACGGCGAGGGATAAGACGAAAAGAAGAAGAAGAAGAAGAAGAAGAAGAAGAAGAAGAAGAAGAAGAAGAAGAAGAAGAAGATGATGATGATGATGATGATGATGATGTTTTTACTAAAAATAAATAGTTTTATAACTAATAGTAAAGATTTACTCATAATGTTATTGATGTTGTATAGTTAATATATAATTAATGTTATATAGTGGCCGTGGTTCTTCTGGTATTTCGGAAAAAAAGTTTAATTTTCACTCATCTTATACTCCAAATTTTCATCTCACTCTTGCTAATGTTTTCAATACATTTGACCACCTATGACATCGAAATCAACCAGTCAATTCTGATATAGCAATTCAGGGAAATAATAATTGATACATATTTGAACGTATGGTGTTAATGTTGGTCGCTGTTATCGATGTACAAACATCCGTCACCACATAATGTTTGATTTGGTAGACATGGTCCTTAACCTTACTAGTTATGTTAATTCTTGTTACGTAAGACTTAATGAAGGACGATAACTCAGCAAAGTGAAAGTACCTCGTGGAAGTTGGCATACACCCTTAATTGAAAATAGATTTTCCCGAACTCAGATTTGTAATTCATCTATGCCTTAGTTTTTTCGGAGGGATACAATATCATTCTGTAAGTTATTCGGGACTTTTTTGCTTGAGAATTATGTCATTATCTTATTAGATTAATCTGTTCAGTGTTATTTTCGGTAAAGGTACAAGGTCACAGAACTTGTTTGAGGTTACAAAACTGGTTTGTCTGATAGCCAAATCTCAAAATACTATTTACATCTATCACATAGGTGCGTTGGCGTTCCAGGAGGTCGAGGGCACTTGTATACATACGCGGACTACATACTTTACCGGACGTGTACATCGAGATGAACTACTTCGAGTTTCGTTATCTACAAAATCACGACGAACATGGCTTCTGTATCTCTGTGTAAAGTGTTTATATTTCACTGTGGAATTTTAATTCTACATGTATTCGCTCGCTAAGTGTAAAATATAGGACAGTTAGAGATCAATTCGATTCGTTTGTTGTGGTGTTGATATTTCACTGCCCACTAGGTACAATCACAACATATTCATACATTTTATCATATGTACACTGTATAACTTAAACGTTTCCTGCAATAGCCTCGACACAAGATTAAAGACGGTTTCATACGCAGTGGTGCACACAAGGCACAGTGGTTAGCGTAGTCATCTTCTATCATGTCGACGGGGTTCGATTCCTAAATTAATTTAGATTAATGATAGAAAACGAAATCCTAGTGGAAGGACTTGAGATTAGATTCTTATTTCTATCATGCTTGTTGGCATTCAGCACTGAAATATTGTCATCGATACTTGGAATGTACACAAAGGTGGTAGATAGGAGCTAGTCAGTAAAATTATTGTGACATGTGTAGACGCCATAATCATTGTAAACCCGATCATCAGTGTAAACCCGAACACCAGTGTAAACCCGATCATCAGTGTAAACCCGAACACCAGTGTAAACCCGAACACCAATGTAAACCCGACAAACAGTGTAAACCCGATCATCAGTGTAAACCCGAACACCAGTGTAAACCCGACAAACAGTGTAAACCCGATCATCAGTGTAAACCCGATCATCATTGTAAACCCGATCATCATTGTAAACCCGATCACCAGTGTAAACCCGAACACCAGTGTAAACCCGATCATCATTGTAAACCCGATCATCAGTGTAAACCAGATCATCAGTGTAAACCAGATCATCAGTGTAAACCCGAACACCAGTGTAAACCCGATCATCATTGTAAACCCGATCATCAGTGTAAACCCGATCATCAGTGTAAACCCGATCATCAGTGTAAACCCGATCATCAGTGTAAACCCGAACACCAGTTTTAACCCGATCATCATTGTAAACCCGATCATCAGTGTAAACCCGATCATCAGTGTAAACCCGATCATCATTGTAAACCCGATCACCAGTGTAAACCCGACCACCAGTGTAAACCCGATCATCATTGTAAACCCGATCATCAGTGTAAACCCGATCATCAGTGTAAACCCGAACACCAGTGTAAACCCGATCATCATTGTAAACCCGATCACCAGTGTAAACCCGACCACCAGTGTAAACCCGATCATCATTGTAAACCCGATCATCAGTGTAAACCCGATCATCAGTGTAAACCCGAACACCAGTGTAAACCCGATCATCATTGTAAACCCGATCATCAGTGTAAACCCGAACACCAGTGTAAACCCGATCATCATTGTAAACCCGATCATCATTGTAAACCCGAACACCAGTGTAAACCCGATCATCAGTGTAAACCCGATCATCAGTGTAAACCCGAACACCAGTGTAAACCCGATCATCATTGTAAACCCGAACACCAGTGTAAACCCGATCATCAGTGTAAACCCGATCATCAGTGTAAACCCGATCATCATTGTAAACCCGATCATTAGTGTAAACCCGATCATCATTGTAAACCCGATCATCAGTGTAAACCCGAACACCAGTGTAAACCCGATCATCATTGTAAACCCGACAAGCAGTGTAAACTCAGTAATCATAACAAAAGAGGATCTTTTTTAAAATTTTATTTGTATATAACGTTGAGTACTCGTGAGGTTATGCACGCGTAGTAAGGGTTTTAGTTTGAGATAGTTAAATACTACTGTTGTAAAGGTTCTCGTATTCACCGATCTCAGACGGATAAAATTCCAATGTTTTCTAGGACTGTGCCTGATTGGTGTGTTTACTTGTTTTACGGCATGCAACAAAGCTGCTACTAAGACAAAAAGTGTCAAACGCTATATATATATATATTACATACATTGAAAAGCAGATTTGTCCAGAACAACAGAAAAAGACAAACCAGAGGTCCTATAGTGGACGGTGGTATATGTTTACCTAATCTGGGGGGGGGGGGATGGAATGTTCGACTAAAAGTGGCCAACTGCCATAAAAGATCAAGTTATACCTAGACACTCAGAGCGGACGAGAAACTGAAACATGTTAGTCTGGAGTATGATGTTAACAAGGTCCAGTATTGCACGTGAGCTCGTGAACGAGTCCTGTCTGGTGTGATAAATCAGTACGTTTACACATAGGGGGCTGTAGTCGCCTCATATGCCACAGAAAACATTGTATTGGGTTTGAGTTGTTCATTTTTATGATTTGGTTTCATCAACATATAACATAGTTTTACAATTGTACGATATATATTTGTGAAAACTAATCAAAATAATGATGACGTCAAATCAAAGAAGAGGCGAGAAGGAGGAGAGGATTACGGAGGCTACAAAAGGGATCCGTGTCAATAGAATCCCTACAATGGATATATTTAATTCCTTAACCACGCTACTAAGGATGTGAACGAAATACCTGTCGTTTCCCTGTACATGTACTTCAATGAATGCAATCCACACAAAAAAAATCGTTTTAAATTTCATGTTGTTGCAAAACATTGTAGGACAAACATTAAGAACAGAGTTATTTTTATCTCCTAAAGTCGCCACTACATTCCTCTTTACGTGATGTTTACGTGCTACACACTTATCTCTACGATTGTGTTTCTGCTCAGACGGATATTTCTAAGGCATTATGTATCTCTGTCTTTGCTGATAACACGTTTACATGTATTTCATGTTGTAAAAATAAAGACACGTGATCAACGGATTTCTCATTTTCTCTCTTTGCTCAACCCTTCTCTGTCTGTCTGTCTGTCTGTCTGTCTGTCTGTCGTCTGTCTATTTGTCATTATAAGATTTGATTTACTATAAATTGTCTAAATTGTCTGATTAGTTTATTGCTTGTATTCCTAATTGTTGTGAATACTTGTATCCAGTTGTTTTGTAAATATGTATCTACAATAAAATATGTTTAAATCAAATCGTTATAACGTAAGTTCAAAACTGGATGTATATCGACTTTCTTCACCGTTTGAAAGATCTGTGTCAGCCGATTACAAATACTGTTATGATGACCGATTTCTAAAAGTCTATATAAACCAATGTGAATCACATAACCCTGACATTCTCCTTAGTGTCCTTAGATCATACAACATATCGACAAGGATGCAATTTAAGTTTATTAAATTGAAGTTCAATAAACGGATTAAAAGACCCTAGTGGAAATAAATTGATAAATATCATAGAATAAAAAAATTATTTACGTGCTTACACAAAAATACAGCAAGAGTGTATCGAGACTCAACAGACCGTAACGAACTAGATACGTCCGAAATTTTCGGGAGCTTTGTTCATGTGACAACCCATGCTTGACAGGAAAATCACACATGGCTTCTCTTTGAAGACGTTTTTAACACGCTCTTGTATTCTGTATATATACAACAGGACAAATCTTAATCGCGGTGTTTTAAATGTATTCATTTCAAATGCACTCATTTCAGAATACCAATGAAATCAGACATTGAACTAATGTCGGGCATTGCATTTTGAAAATTGTGGTAATGAATTTCGGTCTTCACCTCCGTTTAACTGATTTTATTTTTATTATTTTTACATGCTATCATTAGGTATTACGGGATAGATAACGTATTTAGAACATAGGTGAAAGAGACCCGCAAAACCAGAGCATAATAGCTTCAAAATCTCACCATATTTCAGTTTCTCGCGAAAATATTGCTACGTAGTTAGTTATTTTAAACATGAGTACCTCCTTACAGGTTGATTTTATTCGTTACATTGAATTTTAAGTGGAACAGCACCATGTATGCAAATGACTCTAAAACCACATAGTCGACGTCATGACATCAATATAAGAAATGCACCAAAGGGAGTATGGTGGGCGTGTCTTTGCTTTAAAAAGGGGGGCCTTTAAACGTCACTATGTCCAAATTTAATAACATATTTAAATGAGTTATTTAAATATGCAAATTGGATTTTCCTGATATTTTCGATTTGTGCTTGATCAAGATCTACTTATTATGTAGATAATCAACACGGACTAGACGAATTCGATTTTAATTTGCTGGTGAT